CTCGAAGATCGCGGCGCAGATGAAGAAGATTGCGCTTCGAGAAGCCAAGCGAAACAACGACGAATACCGTGTGCACGCTTTCCGCTGTCTATGGGAGTTTGCAAAGGCTCGTGATGATCTCGATATGCTTGATGAGATTGCGGAGATCGTTACGCCGTATCTCGAAGAGCTTAAGGGAGACGACGAGACCGAGAATGGAGACAAAATGGATATCGACTCTAAGGATCAAGTCGCGAAGGAGCAGCTTGCAGAAAAGACGGCTTCCAATGGCTTAGAGGCTGTTGCCCGTGGACACAGCCACACTAATCTTGCCATTCTGACAAAGATCATCAATATTCTCAAACCTTTCCTTTCAAGCCCGAACTTTGCTACCATCAAGCGCCAAGTATGGTACGAGTGCGTACGCGATCTTATGAACGATGCCACACTCTCATCAACATCAGACGAAAATGCCGTGGCGCTTACTTATCTACTGAGTCTGGACGTTGACTTGGTTGACACCGGCACTGAACCACAGAGAATCATGAGGGCTAAGGCTGTTGGTGCATTGTTCAAGGCAAAGGGCAAGGGAGTATTTGGACCGACTGGGGGTCCTGACGCTGCGCAGTTGAAGACGATGGTGAGCAAGGCCCTGGAAGCCGAGAGGTCTTTGGAGGTACAGCGGGTGCTTAGGGATATCCTCGTTGAGATGGAGTAAGAGAGGGGCGAAGCTTTCTAGAGGATTCAGCGTTTAGATCATTATTTTTTTACTAGCCTATGGTTAAGAGATACACCAGATCATCACGAGCTTAGCAGTATTATTGTGAGGGTTAGGCTGACCGCGATACATGTTTGTTCAGAAAGACCATACATGGCATATCACGATAAACTCGGGCGTATTATCACAAGGCTAGACTGACTGTCATAATACGAAGGTATGCCTGTTCCTCATCTCCTGAACCCTGAGAGCTGCCCTCGCTTTCAATCTTGGCAAACATCGCAACCCCCTCACATCTTACCTCAGCACTCATAATGCCGTACAACCAGCAAAAAAAAAAAAAAAAAGGCAATTGCCCAACGTTACATAGTCCCCCCAATCAAGCCCAATCCGTCAACAAACTCGTTAAACCGAAACAAAAGCAGAATGTTCAAGCGACACAAGAAACGCGTGTGGTTTGTGACCGTTGGCTATCAAGCTCTCCGGCCGGATCGGCGTTGAGAAACGGCCGGAACCGTCGGTATTGTGGAGGATCCACTGCCGAAAAAAGCTTCGCCGTGTGACGGAGGCCAAAGTCGTCGACGAATGATACATACATGGCACTTTTTGTAACGTTGAGCTGGAATGCAAGGTAGGTCCTGTTTCAGTTTATAATTGCAATGTATCAGTAAACGCGGAACAGAGCAAATGCCGAAACCATCATCATGTTGAGAGCAGTTTTATTCTATCTTGCCAAGTTGAAAAATTAGACATCATTGGCAGAATGTGTCCAACATATTGCCGATAAAATGTGGAAAAGGACAAGGATGGCAGCGTGGCACGGAAGACTCAAGGCCCCGCAGCGATATTGGCACGCCGGCTGTCGCGAGATCGCAACGCAACCGCAGCGTAGCGCGCTGCCAGTCAGATGTGATATGATGATGCCAGTCTTGTGTCATGAACATTCAGTAACAACTCTGCCGCTCCAAGCTACTGACCAAGAGCCAGTAAAATCTTGCGATGCTCAGATGTTTACGATTCAGTCTTGTCCAGGGCAGAGCTGCAGCACAGTTAGCGGAGAACTATTCAGGACCATCGGTTTTCTAAGCCGCAATTTGCGTCACCAGTCCAGTCCACTGCTGGGTTTTCCACGAGGGTCGCAAGGTGGGATTGAACGATCTGCAAGTAGCAACCAGGCCCCTGGTCCCAAAATTGATGAATGCGGCTAAAGGGAGGAACCAGAAGCGTAGAAATTCGCGAAACCAATATGCATAGGCATGCCATCTGAAGATGTTTGCAGATTTCGAGTCAGAGTCCTATGAGCTCAAGCAACGTACTGTAACGTAGTCAACCTTCAATACCACCAAAGAAGAGTCTGACAGGGGATAAGGCCAGTCTGTCAATAACGACCATGATGCACTGTCTTGCAAGAGAGAAATCTTCAACCTGATTGGACAAACTAGTGCTCGCAAGTTCACCAGTCATCATCAAGGGTCAAAAGATGCTTTGTCTTGTACAGTGATGCCGCATGGTGGTGTCAGAAACAATCTTTGGTGTGCAAAGGATCCACTAGCAGCGATTCCCGGAGGCCTGGAAAAACCTCCCATTTGTCGAGCTGTTTAGTTAGCAATAATGACGGCGTGCTGTAGTGGCACGCTTTCAGTACAGATGGTTCCATGAGGTGACCTCGGCACGAAGTTGTTTCAATACAGTGCTATGATTCACGATACGCAAATCGAAATATTGCCTGATTTACGAGACAACTTTGCTGTTCTGGCATCTACTCCCGAGATAAGGGCAACGCCCGCCATTACCAAGATGGCTCAACCCTGGTGCGGTCTAGAAGGGCTTTCCTGTCTTGGCGCGAGAGGAGACCGAGATCTTGCTTAGACAGGGCATTTCGACATGGGTTTTGGAGTGCGCCACACTTTAGGTTTGAGTTAACACTTCTCAGGGAGAGTTTGTCACCCAGGGATAAATAGCCTCAATTCTGAGGTCCATGCATAAGCGGCATGCAATTGAGTTGGAAGGCTTTGAGGGTCCTGTTTTGTTACTGGAAAGTCAACAGTCATGAGCACTCGATTGTGCGAAGGCGACGTTGAAGTGGCCAGCTATCGAGTGTATGATCACTACTGGTTGTGATATCTCGAAATGACCTGATGCTCGAGGAACGGGCGTTGTCTGATGATGCCGCCCTATCTGTTGTCAAAAGCAAAGATGCCTGAACAAGCTCAAGTTGCGATTGCTCACGCTCAGGTCTTCTGCCCACGAATGGATAAGTTCTAAGGCCTTGTGGCATGGGTTGTCTCGGCGTTGCTATTCTGAGCTCGCCTGTAGCACGTCGCTATGACAAGCATTCGACACCGAGCCTTGCAAATGATGCAAGCAATGGAGTCTGGGGTTACTTGTCGCGATAGCAATCTTAAACCCTAGGGCTGGTGATCACCATACGATGGCCGGAGATATTCAGATAAATGAGATGTTGAAACATTGTCGCAGATCTGAGTGAGCCATGCATTCGTGAATTGCTCGCGCTTCATCCGCAACAAGAAGTTGTAATGCTTTTGCGCGGTGAAACCAACAAGCGAGGCCCTGGGCTCTCCCTTCATTCCATTTTCACGCTTGTTCGACCTCAGTTGACAGGCCATTTGCATGAATTCAGTGCCATGCTCAATTGCCCCCAGCATTTCCATCCAACGAACAACACGATGATCAACAATGATCTTTTCACCTTCCCTGCACTCAGCTCTCCGTTGGTCGTCTATCGCCGGCTGTCCTTACAGTGCAGCTTGATAGATCGGGCTACTTTCCAGGCCATCGACCCTCATGCCCTATGATTTCATGATCCACTTCGGCAGGGCTGTTTTCACAGGGGTTGTGTTCGTTCATCTCGCAAGCTCCGTCCTGCTTCCAGCGCCCAGCGCTCAGAGTCCACTGTTCACTGTCCAGCTTCCAGTCCAAACGGTGCCCAGCTGTGTCGCTTTAGGCACTAGGCACTGAGATAGCGCCACGCCAGCCGTCAAGGGTAGCCCTGGTTGCGGAGAGCCACACAATGCTTTTCAGCACGACAGGTACCCAAGCCCAAACATGGCTGAGTTTGCTCGTCCCAAAAGTACGTATCCAGCTCAAGCGAAACAACAAGGGGCCCCAAACAATGCCATTACAGCCTCGAGTTTTCGAGGAGAAGGCTCGAGCTCGAGCTTTGCATTGTTTCGAACCACTTTGACCATCGCCATCGCCGTAGCTAGTCCAGTGATTGTATGCATCACGATGATCGCGAAGTTGCCGAACTAAATTGTCGATACTGTGCGTAAGAGCAGCTAGGGCAAGGCCCACAGGTTTTGTCCTTGTCCTTCTCGTTCTCCTCCCTTCCATCCCTTCCAGTCTCTCCACATCGCGACACACACATTTTCTCAAGCCACACCCACCTTTACTGGCTCCCACCACTTCGTAGTGAGTCTCTTCTGGGCTCTTGACTCCCAATGGAAATGTAATTCGATGTTGTGCGTCTGCTTCTCCAAAAGCCCTCTTCCTGGCCTCTTCCCCTCCTCTGTTAAGATGTTGTTGAGACCTTTCATCCCCCCATCTTAAACTTCTTGCGTAAACTTATCTTCTTCTAAAGCAACCGCTTGATCGTCTTCTCGTCTCTGTCCCTTGTGCAATCGTCTTGAACGCTTTGTTGTGTTACGGAGTGTCCGTTACTGCGCCTGCTTGCCCAGGTCCACGCTACCGTTACCATCATCTCATCTGAATTCCGTGCACCTGCAGCCGCTCCGTCACTCGCCCAGTGACTTAACAGCGTCATTCGTCCATTGGGCTGTTTCAGTACCACCCTTAGCAAGCCCGCACCAAGATCCAAGATCCCCTTGTCAGCGGATACGGCAGCCCACACCCCCTGGTCGACAATTTTCCCCTACCGGTACCCTCGTCCCCGCGTGCCCCCGATTGTTCCCAAGACCAAGGCCCAAACAAGGCAAGGTTAAGAAAAAAAAGCTCGTCTTTTTTCTCTCTGTCTCCCGCATTACGACTCATCCCACGACTCTCTTTCTTGTTTCCCCTCATCCATCTTTGTACTCATCACGGTTTTCACGGCTCTTCCCTTGCGCGTGTTTCGGAAATTGGCTGTGACAGTTACTGTTGTTTTTGTTGGCGCCTAAAAGTAAGTTTGCTTTCTTTCATTCCCTTGTTGCTTGTCGATTCCTTGCACATCTGTTGGTACTCGTGGTTGGTGGAGGGAGGTTTGTGGGATTGGGTCGGATATCAGCTTCAACGACGCTTCATACGCATTGCGCCCACCACCATCGACAATTTTCTACTTGAGAACATGACCAGCTCCATGGATCTTCGAATGTGCTTTGGTTCGAAGATTCCATACTATATTCGACTTTTGAGCAACACTCAGTTCCTCCCGTCGCATCTGTTCATCCGTTCCGATCATCCGCGAAGCGACCATATCGATAAGCAGCCCGAAGAAGTCAGCAGCGCAACGAGTCTCCTTGCCGACTTCTGAAACGATACCTGCAATGCGTCACATACCAAGCCTTCGATACTTGACAATCGAGTGTCGACCGTCTACCGACTTCATATGCTCAGTTACGCCAGCTCTTGGTGACTAAGGCGCAACGCTATTGTCATTTCGAACAACTCCCCCGTCGCTACCGGAAATAGGGATGCTGAAATCCTGGAACTTTCGAAGAACGCACGACGCTGAAGGGAGAGGATCTTAAGGGCTGCCGAGTCTTTTGGAACCAAGACCATGAATGGAAAGACGTGTATCATGTTGGCACTTCTCGTCTGAGGACTGCTCTCCCGATATACTGCGACCGGGCATCACGAATAACTTACCCGCGGACGGTCCTCCATTAGCAACTGAAGCGTTCGTTGAAGCGGTGTCTGGCCTGCATCAAACTTATCGACCAATAAGGATGGACGAACCTGCACCCGGAATTTGGAGATTTCCAACCCAGCCTGGGGAACGTCACAGATGTTAGGACCAGTTCGACACTTCCAATCATAGCTTCCGGGACCAACATGGATATTGGCAATTGGGGAGACCAGCAGAAGACTAACAAAGGCATAGGTTCAGCTCATTTCGGGAACGTTTGCAGCTACCTTACTACATTCCTTTGGAATCTTTGGTAAAGCACCTTACCCCGCGTGAGAACGACGATTTGGCGTTTCGCATCTCCATCACTCTCCTCAGAAGCATTTCATTGCTTGTACCGGCGTGACGGCGTCTTAGAGACTTGATTCGCATCTGTACGAATACTTTTCGGAGTCCAATTCTCGGTTATCAGATTCATATTCTTTAAGGATTAGACTCGGCGTGAAGGTAAGAGGATTCAATCCGGCTCTGCAGAATTGCGCCACTCACATCAGTCTTGCAGGTCTTGCGATCCAAAAATAGCGACTTCGTTGTGCTTTCGGTACTCGATTCTCTGACGGTACGTTCTGCAAATTCCCCCGATGTTGCCACTCGCTGCCTTTTGTGACTGGTTTGTCTGAGCACGTGGACTTATCTCGCAAACCTTGTCATGTTGGTGAACGGTCTTGATGAATATCGATGTGTCCTTTTGGAAGCAAGATTTTTGAGAAGAGAAAAGTTCCCCCTCGAGAGGAACTTGCTCGTGCTCGTTGTTTGGCTGAGGAGGCAGGAGCCGCATGGACGAGCCACTGTTGCCTGAGCTTCAACCTTCACCTTCACCTTCCCACGTGCAGGCGCACCACATCGCATAATTTCTTGACTTTGCATCAAACCTTTCGCTTCTTCACGCTCCTTCGAGACCCTCGACAGCGTTGCTAATATCTGCTGATAGCTCTTCTACGACTTTTTTTTACGACGTGTACGAGTTTACTACCCACGGTAAGTTGCTCTATCGCGATGATTTCCCTCTCAAAAGCCACCCGCCTTTGGACGCTCAGCCCCTACGAAGGTCACGGAAGCGCATCATTTGATGCGCCTCGGAAGCCTATCGCTCGGTCACAAACCACTCAGGCCATTGTTCGGTTTGCGGAGCTAGAGTTCACGAGATGGAACCCAAAGGATCCACCTGGTTCAAGAGCCTCGGACCTATGATTCACTCTCCTAAGCCCCGGAATCCTGATTCGGAACAATACTGGCTACACCTGGAGCTTTCGTCCCTGTTTGTTCGGCCCGGCGCTTCTGATTCGATGTGGATTGTATTATTTGCTGCGGGCTGATCGAGGCGGCATCCTCTCTTTTCCCCCCACATTATATGCATTTCTTTTGTCACAGCACAACTTTCATCTCTGCCAGTGCTTTCGAATTTGCTGACACACGAATAGTCTTCTTTTATTGTTGCTCTGCTCTGTAAAGCCCTGCAACATCTTGCTTTTTCTTTGAACATATAAAGCTCGTGCTTGGTTCTTGACTCTGGTTCGTTCTCCCCACAGATATCCTTCCTTCTTCCTCCTCTTTTGCGAATTTGCGCTTGGCTGTACTTCCTTCGCTCGTGCTCGTTCATATTCATCCATGGTGTTAACTCCTGCAAAGCGCATTATGGATTTCGCCGGTGTCCCCCCCAACAACGCAGCTCCTGCTGGCCCAATGTCTTTTCCCAACGGTACTCCTCCTGCTCCTGACATGGGCTCTGCCCCTCCTCCCGGTTCTGGTCCTGATTCTCCCAAGACCACTCTTTGGTAAGTAGTAGCTGTCTGTCATGGCACAAGCGAGTGCTGACTAGTGTAGGATGGGAGAGCTCGAGCCTTGGATGGATGAGAACTTCATCAAGGGTGTCTTTATGTCTGCGGCCCATGAAACTGTCAATGTTAAGGTCATCCGCGACAAGAACTCTGGTAATGCTGGGTACTGCTTTGTTGAATTCCAGTCCCCTGAAGCCGCTACCAACGCCCTCGGCATGAACGGAAAGCCAGTTCCTAACAGCCAGCGCTCCTTCAAGCTTAACTGGGCTTCTGGTGGTGGTCTCGTTGACCGACGGTATGTGCTCTCTTCAAACGCTAAGAGGAATTATTAGTAACATACTTCAGGGATGATCGTGGCCCCGAGTACAGCATTTTCGTTGGCGACCTTGGCCCCGAGGTCAACGAGTACGTCCTGGTTTCTCTCTTCCAGGCTCGATTCCCTTCTTGCAAGTCTGCCAAGATCATGACCGACGCCATGTCTGGCCAGAGCCGTGGCTATGGTTTCGTTCGCTTCTCCGACGAGAACGACCAGCAGCGTGCTCTTGTTGAGATGCAGGGTGTCTACTGCGGCAACCGACCCATGCGTATCTCTACTGCTACCCCCAAGAACCGTGGTAACCACGGCTTTGGTGGTCAAGGACACCACAACGGCGGTCCCATGATGGGCGGTATGCCTCAGCAGCAGATGTGGAATGGAGGTGGCATGCAGGGCTTCGGCTATGGTGGTTTTAACCCTGCCACTCAGATGAACCAGTTCACTGACCCCAACAACACCACCGTCTTTGTTGGTGGCCTTTCTGGCTACGTCACCGAGGACGAGCTCCGATCCTTCTTCCAGGGCTTCGGTGAGATCACCTATGTCAAGATCCCTCCTGGCAAGGGCTGCGGCTTCGTTCAGTTCGTCCACCGCCACGCTGCCGAGATGGCCATCAACCAGATGCAGGGCTACCCCATTGGTAACTCTCGCGTGCGCCTCAGCTGGGGACGTTCTCAAAACAACTCTGGCGTTGGCACTCCCTACCGCCCCGCCCCTCCTCCCCCTCACTACATGGGCATGCCCAGCCACGGCGGACCTGGCAACTATGGCCCTCAGCACTTTGGCGGCCCTGCTCCCGGTCCCCAAGGCCCTCCTGGCCCTCCTGGACCCCCCGGACCTGGCGGTCCTCCTCAGGTAAGCGTGACTCATCCAATTGACCTCCATGTACTGACATATTTAGGAGTTCTAACTCCATTTGCAGTAATTTGACCACGAACTCGTTGACGAAGGGGCTTTTATACGACCAATCCCCGGCACTTATATTTCCTTGGGCTCAGTTATCTTGCCTTATCATGAGCTATCGCGTAGCAGTTGTATCTGCTTTTCGGCAGTTTACGAGTGATACCCAACCTTGATTTCGATTTGGGTTCATGACTTTAAGTTTTATGGCAGCTCAGGATTTCAACACAACACCACGCTCACTCCATTTCCTTGGGTCTGAATCATGATTGGCGTTGGAGATCTTTGGTCCCCCGGTGGATTGTCATCAATTCAATTCATTTAAGCTACTTGCCTGTACCCTCTGCGTTTACTTTAGTCACTCACTGCTTTTTCCTTTTTTGCTTTTGACTGTCTGTCACTGTCTTTAACCATGGATGTTCAAGTCGCTTTAGCGTGATGATCACACGTCGTCTTTGCAAAGCTCTGCCCACTGTTTCCTTCCAAATCTTTTCTCGTAGTCAGACCAAGTCTTTTTACTTGGTGGGATTTGGCTTTGCGCATTTCTTTAGCTTCTTATAGGAGGATTGGCTGCACAGCGACTCTGTTTGGCATCGCCCTGGAGCTCATGCAAGCATCGGAGGCTTGCTCGGCGCGTAGGTTTCACGGTTTAGTACGGTATACCTGGTGTGCTTGGGGGGAATCTGGGGTGCAAAAAAAAAAAGCGGTTAGGAAAAGAATGGTCTTGGCTACGAGTGTTGTTTCTGATGAGGCGATGGGGAGTTTGGCCCGCGGTTTTGGGAGTCAGTATTATTCGAAACAGACCGATCATTGAACTGATGAAGGCAAACTGGCTCGCGTGACCATTGCATGTCGACACGTATGAATCCCCTCTTCTGACAGCTCAGCTCTAGAGGTACAGCACAGCAAACTAGCTTCACATCTCCGCATCTGGAGACCTCCACATAATGGAGAGGCTGACGTAATCTAAAGCCAAGATATTTAGGGTTCGAGTCTGATTGCTGCTGTCATTGGGCGTAGAAGCCGTGGAAGCTCCTCGTACGTAGCTAGTGCTGTGTTTAAGCTGCAGCATGATATCTTCATGACCTTTGAGTGGAACTTTATTTCGAAGTACTTTAAGCCCAGCACCTCCTCCTTCAAACTTAACCTAAAGATTATCCCCTCATTTGACAATACTATTAAACATTGACGATATCATCAAAACAATCATGTCTTCTATTGATCTAAGTGCTTTCCCCGCAGCAGCTCCAGCAGCTCCATCATCTGAGATTCGTTATGCAGATGTAAGTTCGATACCCTAAAGCTATACATGTCTGACAGTTTAGGTCGCTGTTACAGCTACCGCGAAGGAATTTAAGGGTATATACCGCGAAGATAAGCAGTATCACGAACCGGACTTTATCAACACCCTAGACCGTGCGAAAGATGCTGGCGTTAGTAAGGTTATGCTGACGGGCATGTCTCTCGCCGACGTACCTCACAACGAAAGTATCGTCAAGCTTCGCCCCTCGCAGTGTTACTATACAATTGGCGTACATCCATATCATGCTTCTGAGCTTGATGCCGGTGGAAAGTCACACCTTGATGAGTTGGAGCAGAGAGTGAATAGTGCACTTGCACAGGATACTCCACATATCGCTGCCTTTGGAGAGCTAGGTCTTGACTATGATAAGGAGCAACACGCTTCGAAGGATGTTCAGAAGAAAGCGTTCAAAGCGCAATTGGACTTATTTGTCAAGAATAGCTGGGATCTCCCACTCTTCTTGCACTGTCGCAATGCCTTTGACGACTTTGTCGAGATGATTTCACCATACATGGAGAAACTCCCGCGCGGCGGTCTAGTCCACAGCTTCGTCGGCAGCACAAGCCAGATGGAGAAGCTTGTGTCCCTCGGGTTAGGCATCAGCGTCAACGGCTTCAGCTTCCAGAGCACGGAGAGTTTGGAGATGGCATCCAAGATACCGCTCGACGCACTGCAGCTAGAGACCGATGCGCCGTGGGGAGAATTGAAGGGCGATGTGGTGAAGCGGTACTGTGAGAATGCGAGACCGTTGCCAGCGTCGAAGAAGAGAGATAAGTGGGATCCTAAGTGTTTGGTTAAGGAGAGGAATGAGAGTTGTTATATGGAGCGTGTGGCGCTTGTTGTAGCGGGTTTGAAGGGTGTTGGTGTTGATGAGGTTGCGGAAGCGGCGTGGAGAAATAGTGTGAGGATGTTTGGACTTGGACGAAGATAGGGTCTAGGTAATTGGCATATAGTTAAAGAAGTCAATATTCATAAAGGTTTTATGAAAAGCTTCGGTGAAGCAGTCGGCATTTGTAAGAGCCTTGAGAAGAGATTGGGATGAATGAAAAGCATCAGGGCCGGTACTTTTGAGTAATTGCCTACATACCTAAGGTACTACAGTAACCCACGTTTGTTGAGGATTTCTGATACCAATTGTATAATGAAAAGTCACCCAGTCTCTTTGGTATCGAACGTGTGTTCTGTACAAAGGATGAGCGTTTTGCGCCTCTGTACCTTCAACCCCCCAATGCGTCTCATAACCACTACCCTCCTAGAAAATAGCCAAAGCATTCGGAGGCGATCCAATCAATCCAGGCTGATTCAAAGGAGTCGAAGTAATCATGAACGAGTACCTCTTCTTCTCCTTACAATACCTCGCCAACTCCTTCAGGTCCCACAACTCGCCGATCGACATACCAAACATGTTCAAACAATACATATGAAGCACTGCACCAGTTAGCAAACATTCACAGTCCCCCAAACAGTAACAAAAAGAACGACTCACCGAGATCTTTCATTCCACCGATAGAACCATCAGGTTTCAATGGGGGATACGCTTCGAAACTATTCGAGTCTGACGCCGCAGCAGCAAACCGCTTGTTCCACAACCACCGAGCCGTTTCTTCACAGCCGTGAAGACCTGTGAGTTTCGCAGCGGCCATTTTACCCAGATCGGCAGGGTTCATGTTATCGACTACTTCGGTTGCGCCTGTTCTGACAATCAGGATGTCGCCTGGTTGGAAGTCGACCTTTTGATATGCTGCGCAAGCCTCGAGGTCTTCAACCGTGATGCGGTTCCCATCAAAGGCGTGGAACTCTATGCCTTTTTCCTCAGCATAAGAAGCGTAGTCGATCAACACGCCTCGACCGGCAATGCAGCCTCGGGAGTGCCAATGGTCCAGGGTTGGCATATTGTTGGACTCGGTTGAGTCAATTGACAAGGCTTCTTTATCAGGATTTGCACCGTTGTATGCCAAACCAGAATGCTGGTGCTGGAAATGACACAGACTGTCCCATTGACTGCTACACTGCGTGTTGAAGGATAATTCATCGTCCCATGATTTGCCCTGTTCAAAAGGAAGCGCTGCCATGCTCTCGGGTATGTAGAGGATCTTGTGCTGAGCGGCTAATCGCCCTGGGATGTTAAGCTTGTTCATGGCATTGAGCGGCCAGCTATCAAACGTCAGTATATAACAATGAGTGTCTTTCAGGAGACGTACTTTAGAGATATGGAGACTCCATCTTTGACCTCGAGAGCGGCATTTCGAACAACATCGGGAGTCAGGAAGTTCAGCGTTCCAACCTGATCTTTCTTCCCGTCACGATCAAAAACACCCCAGGCACAGCCCTTAGGCATGCCTTTAACCTCAGGAAGGCCGTCAAAGTCGGGGACAGAGCTGATGTTAAAAACCATTGTCGTTGTTGGTGGGTGAAGTTACTGGAGATGTTCCGTAATTGAAGCGGTGAAGTTGGGGATGTCGCCTGCTTTATACCACGTCGCAAACCAACCCAATTCTATCACTGCATGCGAATTAAGCTGCATTGGGATCGATTCATGAGAAATACTGCAGCCTGGCTGTATCATATCATCGTGTTCGCAAATTAGTATCCACTGGCTCTTGTCAGCCACTTCTACAGGGTATGTAGGCAGCCATTTAGGAACTGAAACTATTCCCAGATTTATACCGATGGGTAAGAAAACGGAATGCGCGATGGGAGTAATAGCAGACTTTTATGCAAGAATATTAGAGTATTCGATTTGAGGGATGATGTAGTAGATATGTGAATTGTGCTATTAGGACGGCGTTTCCAAGTTATGTCTGTTGCGATTGAGAGGACGTGTTCGCGTCAGGTTACCTGTTTCACTAAACTTACCACTCTATACAACCAAGTTCCAAGCATCTGAAACTCTTCAACCTTACTGGACGTCTTTCTGAGAGCATAGACAAATGTTCGCTTTTCCATCGCTCGCGCAAGCAGAATGCCACCCGCCAATCCGTGGAATGCCACTCAGGTGAACCTCAATCAACTAATATCGATTCTATCACTCTCGCTCTAGGGCCTGCAGACGATAGAGGACATAGGGCTCGAAGAAGGTACCACGGATGTTCTTTTGTGAGAGAAAAATGCTTGAAGCCCGATTCGACGGAAATTTCACGCGTGGCTCGTTTCAAAGCTTAGGTGCTTTCGGTTGAGGTCGAATAAGAGGAAGAGCAGTAGTGACAAGAGTGATGCAGCATACAAAGAATTAACAAATCTGATATATTGTGAAAACTAAGTAGCATTAGGCCTTGGAAACGCCGTGGATAGTGCGAGTTGCTTGTTTATCAGTCTCGTAAAGGAACCACACAGCAGGTAAGTCAAGGTCAACACCATGCCCTCAATACATCTTTTTAAAGAAACGAAAAATGGCTAAAGAAGTAGTAGAAAGTAGACAACGCTCTGATTGTTCGCAAAAGGCTGAAATCGCAGACCGGTGTTGTCTACAAGTTCTTCTTGAGATTGGAATCTCGGATCCAGCCCAGGCACGAATACGAAACACCAGTATTCAGAATATAGTTAAAGGGCTCCGGAAAACATAGGAAAGTCTCGAAGCTCCAAACAAAATCTGACACAATAGCCGATGCCTCAAATAGTCAACGCCGTTAGCGAGCTGCAGGGACACCCGCAACTCAATGGCTCGGTTCGAGACGAACAAGGTAATTCACGACAATCCGATTGGTGCAGATAAGTTTCCCTCTATCTAGATCAGATCAGATCGTTATCTTGAGCGATTATTCCCCCGTAATAAACTGGAACGCGTAACGGTGAGTGGGAGTTGATAGTTCTCGCATTCGGTTGTGGAGTTCGTATTCGTACTCTGTTTCACAACGTCAACTGAAGGAGCACAATGGCGGCACATACAGCTCTTGTTCGTTTTCGCAAAAGGATTGTATCATAGTTGTAAGAGTCAATAGTTGGAGAAATGGTAGAGAGTATGGAGTTGGGAAGGAATCCGAAATATCAAAGGACCAGCCTCCTTTGCATACGGGTTCGAGTTTTCCGATTTCTATTTAAACAAGAACAATTCTCCTCAAACGAAAATCAGACCACTCCGAGCTCATCAATTCTCTCTATTCTTCTAAGTCTTTACACTCTGACTCTTTCGAAACTCCAAAATGTCTTCCTCAGAACTGATTTCCTATGACGAGGCTCAGAACTCGGCCTTCGACAATGTCCTCCATCGAAAATCAAAAGAGTCAAAGGGCGGAATGCGAGCCATGATCAACAAAGACAACAGAGCCCATGCTGCAGCTGTCGACGAGTACTTTCAGTTCTGGGATAACAAAAAGGCTGAAGATGAAGTTGAGGCTGTAAGACAGGAGAGAACTGATAACTACGCCAGTTTGACAAGGCAGTAAGTTCCCCTTAGCTCTAGCCTTTTCCTGTTACTGACTTTTGAAATCTAGATACTATAACCTCGCAACCGATCTCTACGAGTACGGATGGTCTCAGTCTTTTCATTTCTGCCGGTTTGCCTACGGCGAGAATTTCAACCGTGCTATCGCTCGACACGAACACTATCTCGCTCATAACATCGGTATCAGACCTGGCATGAAAGTCCTAGACGTTGGCTGCGGTGTTGGTGGACCTGCTCGAGAAATCGTCAAGTTTACTGGTGCTCATGTCACTGGGTTGAATCTCAATGAGTATCAAGTCCAGCGGGCAACTATCTATGCTGAGAAGGAGGGACTCTCTGATAAGCTTAGGTTTGTCCAGGGAGACTTCATGGTAGGTTGATTCTGAGCGAGCCCACAGGGATATACTAACGCATCGAAGAAAATTCCCTTTCCAGATAACTCCTTCGACGCCGTCTACGCTATCGAAGCAACCGTCCACGCACCCTCCTTAGAAGGCGTCTACAGCGAAATCCGACGAGTCCTCAAACCCGGTGGTGTCTTTGGCGTCTACGAATGGCTCATGACAGATACCTACAACAACGACGATCTTGAACAGCGCCGTATCCGTCTGGACATCGAACAAGGTGACGGTATCGCCCAGATGTTCAAGATCGACCACGGTCTGTCTGCTATCCAAGCAGCTGGTTTCGAGCTTCTTCACCACGAGGATCTCGCAGCTACAGATGATGGAACAGCACCTTGGTACTGGCCTTTGGACAGTGATATGCGATATGCACAGACTATCGGTGATTTCTTTACGGTTTTGAGGATGAATAAGTGGGGAAGACTTGTGATGCATAATGTTATTGGGGCATTGGAAGCTTGTTGGATTGCGCCGAAGGGAACGAGGAAGACGGCGGATAGTCTTGGACAAGCGGCGGATGCGTTGGTTGAGGGTGGCAAGAGGAAGCTGTTTACACCTATGTATTTGATGGTTGGAAGAAAGCCGGAGGAGTCTGAGTAATAAGGAGGAAGCTAGGGTGGTCAACAGTTGTTAGATGGGATGGCACAGAGGGTCAAGGTACAGAGGAGCTTTTGATAGGGGGAAGATTATCGACAAGGGATGGGATATACCCAAAGAAATAATACATCGAAAAGTTAATATCAAGCTACGGACCCAAGCAAATATTTCATTATGAATCGCTCTTATTACTTTCGCCTCATGCATCCCCTTGAATCTCGATTGCTAAGCTCAGGGTAGCATCCACTATGTAACCGATAGGGCTGGCCGCATCATATCTCCATAGCAGTGAGCAAATACCCTGTAAAAGCCATAAGCGGACTTTACATCAGTCAGAAATATGTAATCCTCCAATATCCGCCCATTACAACATCTAAACCCGCAAGGTTCCATGTTATTAAGGTCCTCACGTGTTGAAAGCTTAGCCGTCTAGCTTATCGATAAGGCTTAGATCTCCAACGGTCCCCAATATCCACTGCCGAGAATCTCACCAAGCCTCCGAGACCGCGCGTCAATGACCAATTACCACGGGAAAGCTAGCTCCCGGGTGGGAACACTCATCCTATGACCCTGTGAATAGATTTCTGTAGGAATTTCTGAAGGCGCAGCTTGTCGGAAGATGAGGAATCCGAGCTGTGATCACTATGTGTTTTTTTTTACTGCCGTACGCGCGCTGAAATCTCGGGATAGCTCAGCGGGATCGGGGGGGCTGGGGCCGATGTGGGACAGGGCTGAATACGATCGTTTCAAAATGGGGAGCTTTATTCTCAAGAGTTGGCGATTAAAAATGTCAAAAAGATGGGATTAAAAAGACAGGGCTTGGTATTGCAGGTGATTACGACATTATTCTCTGGGCATTGAAGCTCACAGCTTGTTTAGGAGCAAATGATCATCAACGCCCAGCAAATGGAACCGGCCGTCTCACGTCATCATCATAGTCGTGGCGGTATAGCTTAGACCCTTTCGCATCACTCATCAGTGGCTGGCCACCCCTGCTTGCTCTCTGCAGCCCTTTTTTTTAATCCCCGTGGTCCCCCCTCTCATTCTTTTTCCTCCCCTCTCTCTGTTTTGCGAATCTAGCTGGAACACAAGCGATAAGAGCGTCACCGACGAAACGAAGCTGCTACGAGATACACGACAATTAATGAAAGACACGGAGATACGATATTTCACGATTGATTAGGACGATACGGCTGATAAGATTGCTATCTTATGAGTGGTTAGCTAATTGGAGCTCGATCGATATCGTGGCGTACCTTGCAGCTGAAACATAACAAACCCGATACGATACCCTAGATCCATCAAGCCACGATGTTGAAAAAGAAGGAAACCCTCACCATTATCACGCCCATCCCGGGCTTCATCCCCCGACAACTCGCCATCGATCTTCTTCACTCCCACGGTGAAATCATCACCGTCAATCCTCTCGTCCTGTCGCACAAGCCCATCCCCGCTCCCCGACATGCCGCCGCCGACGAGTACTACAGCACCTGGTACGAGATCACAGAGCGCATCCAGTACATCCCCGGCTTGGGAAAGATAGGATCTGGAAAGCTCACGTTTAATGGATGTTTCCATGATATGCCGTGGGGTATGCAGTCCCATATTTATATCCCGCTTGGTATCGACATGCGAAACAAGTACCGCATTATGGGGAATCAGCCGGGTATTGAACCACCGGAGCAACCTGAGCTTGGACTTGAACAACTCGGTGCACCGAAGGAAGGCCTTTATCTTCGAACTGATGTCGAGCTCAAGTGTAACATCACCTTGATGGGTTTCGTCAAGGCGGAGTCGAGAAAGGCTAGTGTTGATATGGTTAACCGTATGGTTAAGAAGGCGGAGTTGCTTGATGCTGGTCTTTTGAAGGCTATGTTTGAGGATGGAAAGCTGAAGACGTATAACCCTAATGATCGATCTGAGGCGAGTCAAGCGAGACAACAGGCTTTGAGACAGCAGACTATGACGGAGGGTCAGTTCGCTGCTGCTGCTGCTGCTGCTCCACCTGGTCCTGGACCCACGAGCCCAGGTCCTTCTTACGCTCAGCCCTATGCATATGCTCAACAGCAACAACAACCTCATCTCCAACCCCAACCTTCGCCAACATACCCCTACGCTCGTCCCGACGCCACCAACTCTCAATACCCCCAAAGCCCATACGGCTACCATCCAAGCCAAACACCTCCACCCAACGCCCAATACCAACAACAAGCACCACCCGTGCCCCCAAAAACCAACATCCAAAGCTTCCCCATGGAACTCCCCGGCGATTACTACCACCCGCAGCAATCACCAAACCTGCAACAACAGCCTAGCCCGGGGCATCCACCCAGCAACTATCGTAATTCCACGGGGTCGTATGACCCGCGATGGTCGCAGTCTAGCCCATCGGCTGCTGATTCGCATCGCGCGAGTATGTATTCGCAGTATTCGGCGGGATATACGTCGCCGGCGCCGGCGCAGCAAAGTTTTGCGGCAGAGTTACCGTCGCATAATGAAACGTCGGAGGAGCATAGGCATTGAGGGATGGGAATTGGATAAAAGTAGCCGGTCATTTTAGTGATGATACATGGGATAGGCGTTTGTTTGGGATTTTGGGATGGATTTGGTGCAGATACCTTTTGTGAGTAAGTCAGACTCATCTGTGAGGGTCAAGAGGATGTCTTGGAGAGAATATGCATGCAGTCTCTTTGAGTCTCTTGATCATGGTGTGGGTGATGAGAATACCCTTTTTTGGATAATATTGAACAATTTGCGATTGAAACACACTGGCCTGCGTGAGGATGACTGGTGATGAGTCCCAATGCCTCCGTGCAAATAGCTCCTTCGGGTGACACGAAGAAGTCAAGTAAACGAGATTCAGCTTCCATTACGATGCCAAACTATTATTCTCGCGCTAGTTTGATATTCTCGGGCAGATTTACGAAATGCGGCATTCGGGTTGTTGCCGGCGAGATAAGTCTACCTCTTTTCAGCCCTACGGACGGAGTTCACCACGGCGGACTTTGGTGGAGTCGGAATTCAACCAACATTCTTCGGCGACTTTGCCCACCAGAAACCAGCCCATTGAGTATGAATTTGTCGGTAGTAATGAACCGTAGAAACAATAGATTTGTAATAGAGATTGATGCATCGCTACAATTGAGACTGGGGAGGGTTCGAGGTGTTGATATAAGAAGCACCACATTACCCAAAGAGAGATGAATGACCAAGACTCAGAGCTTTTTCTTCCACCACCAATCCAACATATTCCCTTGATAGCTTCGGAACATTTTTTGATCTCAAAATGCCTCTCATACAGCCCAAAGTCGAGCCTCTGCCGCCTGGTATCGATCTTACCAACAAAATAGCCATCGTCACAGGCGCAACAGCCGGCATTGGTCTCGAACTCTCCCGCCAACTCCTCAATCTCAATCTATCGACTTTGATCCTTGCGGTTAGAAATATCCCCAAAGGTGAAGAAGTCCGAAAGACACTTTCGGCTATCAATCCCAAAGCTGTTGTCCAAGTGGTGAAGCTCGACACAACGGAGTACGCCAGTGTGAAGGCCTTCGCTGAGACGTTCAAGAGCAAGCATGGGAAACTTCACTTACTCATGTTAAACGCTGGTATAAGTGATATTAACTTCGAGCTTGTGCCGACGGGGCACGAAAAGAACTTTCAAGTTAATTACCTGTCTAATGTTCTCTTGACTTTGCTTCTTCTGCCTACTCTTGAGCAAACAGCTGAGCTTGAGGGGGCGCCGACACGCATTACATGGACAGGAAGTCGCATGCATTGGCAAACAAGTCTCGCTAGCAAAGTTCCCCTCAAGGAAAATGAAGGCATATTTGAACACTTTGACGCACCGGGTGTCATTCCCCCTCTCACCCGCTACGGCGACATAAAGCTCCTCGTTCTTCTCTTCCAACACGAACTCGCCAATCGCTACCCTCCCAAGAAAGTCATAATCAACCACTTCTGCCCTGGTATGGTCGATACATCTATAACGGATATTCTCCCTGTTTACATCCGCCTTCCAGCGCTGTTGCTCAAAGCTCTGCGTGCGAGGTCGGTCGACAAGGCAGGATGGATCGGATTACATGCTGCGATTGTGGTGGGTGACGAAACGCATGGGCAGTTGTTGGGGGATAAGAAAGTTGCGGATTTGGGTGATTTTGTACCCTCGAAGGAAGGGGTGAGGGTTAGGAAGTTGTTGTGGCAGGAGACTGTTAAGGAGATGAGAGGGTTGACCCAAGTGCCTTCTTGGATGGAGTGACAATCAGATGCATGAATAGTAAAGTCGCAGTATGAAAGCGAATTCTCATTGATCACTGCGCCTAGCATCGCTTTGGTTACTCTCAATAAGCCAACGCTCCGCCTCCCTTCAGAATGGCACCTATTTGTTATCCCAAAACTCCCCGAACAAAGTAGGCAACTGTTGTACCCGTGACGCAGCGTAGACTTCTAGCCTTTTGAGGCCGCCTTCGGCCTCGAAGCGAATCAAACATGATCTGGAAAACAACTGCCACATGGTGATCATTCGTACGTACTGGAGGAGCCAAAACATCGTTTTCAGATGCTCCTGCGTGTCGTCTCGACCCTCCCATTTTCTTATCTTTCTGTTGACATACCATTGATTATCTTCTTTGAAAACTCCGTCAGAAACAGATCCAGACACACACGTGTGGGTTCCACTGAACCATAACAAAGGGAGTACACGGCGCCAGACAGGATCGGCTCTATCATCAGCTGGCAGTATTCGTCCGAAGTATACATCGCTTCCCCAGCGGATGGAGTGCATAAGGTGGCCGGGGGAGGTGACGAGCAAGTTGAGGCCTCCAAATGAGTATTCCAGAATATGATGTTGTCCGACAGTGGTTGGCGAGGGCGCAAAGATGGCGTCTGACGATTCATCCTCGTCACTGTGGCCAGATGGTTTCTCGTCCTCAAAGAGTGTGATAAAAAGAGTGTTTCTGACTAGTGACGCATCGATTACAAAGCTCGCGCTTTGGTCATCCCGGATCCATGAGAAGATCATGTTCAGAAGGTCGCTTTGGGCGATGATGTCAACATTATCACATCTCCAGTCAGGATTCGAAGCTTTCATGGCCTGGAAGACGACCGCAAACGGGTGGTTAGGGTGCTTTTGCAAGAACGGGACCCTCTTGCACTGTCCTGGAACGTAAGAAGGCTCTTGGTAGTGGGATCTCTTGTGGACACTAATAGGATCAGGGATGTTATCGACCTGTAACTGTCAGCCCGGTTTCTTTCAAGGTAAGTTGAATCTTGAGCCGCACGAGTTCCAGTTCAAACTCTTCCTTGTCATCGTCGGTCCAGGAGTAAACCACGTTGCGTTCATCGAGGCGTTGCTCAGGAAATGACAGATAATCCGGCCGGATACTGTTGAAAGAGACGCTGAGTAAATGAAAGGCATTATCAATATTCTGTGGTCCTGCATGGTTAGACATTTTGGATTGTGCCTAGAAGTGACTGGTGATGTGTGGAGTGATATTGAAAGAATGTTAGTTGATGCGTGCAGAGATGTAGATGTATAAACAATCTAGAGGAAGCGTCGATCTCTGTTTGAGATTCACACTTCAACCAAACTGTGAAATATACAGGAAGTAATAGCTGCCAGTAGCTACTGCTATTGGTATTGGATGCCCATCAAGTTGGTCATTCTTTCTGTTTCATCATCAACCCTTCTCCCCAAGTGTAAGGTACCTGACCAGCCTGATCAAGTTCAGCTCATCTCTCACCATCTTCACTCTCTTGATCATCATCAATGAACATTCGCTTTTAGCATATCTACACGCATCAAGCCAACATTCTAAATATGCATGCCAAGTGAAAGAAGCGATGGTATTTCAAGAGAGGTAAATGCAAAGTGCCACAATACGATGACACAGGTACTTAGACCACAGGGCTAAAATCCAGGGCGCTTATTCTATGTAATAAAAGGTTTTAGGTAAATTAGCCTAAATTTAGAGAGCTCTCTGAGATATTTACCTTAGCATCCTCTTTTAGAGTCTAAAGCTTTCTTGCTCTCTAGCGGAAGCCTCGGAAAATTCTCCCATGATCATACAACCCCCCCGGTCGTTGGTTATACGGAGCCGAGGAAATCGTCAGGCCTAGATTTCAATAGTCTACTGCTGCATGTAGCTTATTTTACAAGGTCTGGGGTCTTCAGCTGTGTTGTAGTTGACGGATTGAGTCCTTATTGGACCGGACATAAGTGTGCATTTAATAGTCTCTTCGCTTACGGGATTTGTTGATGTTTGCTGTTGGCTTGGCATTTATAACCCTGGGGATCGGGCCAGCGCATTCAATATTGGGATTTTTGTAGAATAGCTTAGAGACGAGAAGAATGATCTGATTTCTGCTGTGTATATAAATCTAAGTCATTGAGTATGAATGTTCTTTATTTTCTGTGAATGCTATTCTGTTTTATCTGGTAAAATGGTTGCATTCAAGTCCATCCTCTTTCTCCTCGCCTTTGGCACAGAGGCCCTCGGTGTAACAACCGATGTCATCTGTCAAAGCAAATATGGCACAAAGAGTGTCGCTTCGAACAAAACCCCACGGGCTACTACTACTGTAAAGAATCAGATTACGGTTATTAAGAAGGTCATTCGGAAAGTCAATGTTGTTGTAGTGCCCAAGGCCAAGACTACAACCGAGACGGAGATTGTGATTGAGAGGACTACGACAAGTGCTGATTCTGATGTCGAGACTGCGACTGAGACCGAGACTGGTGAGTTTATGGAAGTAGAAGCGAGCGATTTGAGTGGTGCTGATTGTTTAGATGTGCAAATCACGAATCGGGTTATGATGCTCACGCGAACTTCGACATCGGTATCTTCAACAACCACGACGAAGTACACCACCAGCACCATCCCCGCACCAGCTGGCTTCGTTCCCATAAAAGAAGTCCAAGGATACGTCGCCAGAGTCAAAGCCCGAGGTCCCTTACCCAGAGCTGCCGCCGAGTATCTCCAGCGCGTCGATTGCGTCAAGAAGATTCCCTCCACTACGACCAAGACCAAAACTACCACGGTCAAGGGAGCGAGAATTACTCTCAAGCCTAAGACTGTTACGAAGAAAACCACGATTGTTGTTACTATCACGGTGACGGAACATGGACCTCAGGTTACGGAGACGGAGACTGAGACTTTTACTACGATGAGGGTTAACCTTGCTCAGAGGACTCAGACTCAGACAATTCCCGAGACTGGTAAGTGCCCAGGCTTATAACCTGCAGTACTCATACTAATATGCTCAGTCACCATCGAATCTATCGTCCCAGCCGATCCCTTCTACGCCGCCTGCTCCTCCAACAATCTCGCAAGCACCGCCAACGGCGGCAAGAGAATCGCCGACTTTTCCGCCTGGACCGCCAACAGACCCATTTCCGTCTCCGGTTTGACTAGCGCGTATGCATGCTGTGTTGAATGCCAGAAGAAACAGAATTGCTTGATGAGTCGGTCAAGTGCTCGTGGTGCATCGTGTTGGTTGTACTTGGCACCCAGTGATGATGCTTGTTCGGCGCAGATTAACTGGTTGACTTATCGCACTGATAGTGGTGTGAGCGTGGAGTGGACTTATAGTAATGGACCTTGTGGGAGGGCTGTTAATGGGAGAGAGTCATCGTGATCATCGCATCTGAGCTTGGCATCAGAATCATAGTTATGGCTGAAGTGGTCACCATACATAGGAAGCAGTCTGGAAACAAAACATAAATTATATAGATAAGTAACAAATATTAGAATGTAACCATTATATCAACTCGTATAAGTACCGTCACAGCCATTGAGGTGCTCTGTCACTACTCAATCAGAACTTGCTTCTCCTTCTTCAGGCTCTCAACAAAGCTAATCGACACATTGAGAGTCTGAGCGACAACATCAGGAGGAGTCAAAGCAAGCCACTGAGTCAAGGAGATATCGGCAACGCGATCAGACTTGTAGACTTCAATCCAGATGAGATCCTCATCTTCAGAGGTGTTCTCGATGTAGTGCCTACTCAGCATCAGTATCATCTTCACAAACAAGAGTGAGTGACTTACCCAGAGTTGTCAGGAAACGCAGCAGTATCACCCGCCGAAAAGTCAAAAGTCCTCGCCGCCGCATTCCCAATAAAGACCGTCGCCCTCGCCTTACCCTGATGGAAGTACAACCACTCCTCTGCATTAGGATGCCAATGCAACTCCCTTAAACCACCTGGCTTCAGGGTAACGAACGTCGCAGCGAGGGTCTTGGACGCTGGGAAGTTTGTTGAATCGATCTTCCAGAACTTACCGCCAGTGCCGCCAATCTTTTCAGGATCGTGCTGGAACGTGCGGTACACAAAGGAGCTGTTTCCCGAGAGTTTGCCGGCGGGACCGTCGGTTACGTTGTGCTTGGTGGGCGTGCCGGGGAGGATGTAGGGGTTGGGGGATGTGACGTTTTCGAAGACGGAGGCGTTGACGCCGAAGTTCTTGGCGAGGATGTCTTTGGGGGTGTGGTTGATCCAGTCGTCGACCATGAAGGTGGTGCTGTCTTGTGTTAGTGTGTTGTGAAATCTGGGTAGGTGACTTACCCAATCTTGTCAAAGTCGGCTTCGTCAAAGACTAGGAGATACTCATTCTCATCGGCGAGACCTTGGACGGTATGAGCAGCGCCCTTGGGGAAGTACCAGATGTCGCCGTAATTGAGGACTTCTTCCTGATATCGCCCAAATTCATCAACAGCAGAGATGAGGACGGAGCCATTATACACAATGCCCCATTCGGCCTGCTCAAGTCAGTCTCTTATCAATTGAGGTGGAAGTATTAGACTTACGACTTTATGCCAGTGAAGTTCTCGAATGGCGCCCTTGACGAGATGCTGCTGAGCACCAGAGATGTCATGGCTGGACGGCAGATCTTGGATGACCTGTTCACGGACCCAACCACCCTTTAAGAGACGGGTCTTGGAGTCGGAGAAACTCCATTTGAGATTGGGAACAACGCCGTTGTCAGTGGGCTGTTGACCAAGGTTGTCTGGGTTCTGGAGATCAAGCTCCTTGTTTGTGCCCCCTAGTCACTAAGTAAGTATGTGATGAGAGTAAGAGAGCATCAGATATTTGGTAGCTTACCTAGAAGAACAGCACCCTTGCCCTTTCCATCATAAGGTTGGCCTTTGTCAAAGCCGGGTTGTTGAGTGTCCTTTGGAGCTGCAGCAACGATGTTCGACCCAAGGCATAAAGCCAGGGCAGAAGAGAAGAACGACGCGCCCTTCATGGTAGCGATAACACTTTAGTTCAAATACGAACAAGCTGAAGAAGGGGAGTGATGAGAGGATGGATGAAGAAGGGAGAAAGATAGGGACTTCTGTCTCACCGGCGACGTCTTATACCCTCAACAACACAAACTTCATCACGACATCATGCAAACAGATACATCCATCAAACTGGGAAATTACGAGAGACGTAGCTGAATGGCAATCACACCCTAAACACTTACACAAATGACACTACGATAAGTCGCGCTGTCTGAAAGAAACAATGATCGGCATAGCTGCATGAAGCCATCAAGGAAATTGCAGTACGAATTCCGACTGCAAATGGCGTTTGCTTACCCTGAACACAGCCATTTGAAGGTTCAGAAGACATCGAGTAATAGCTCTTATGTGACCGTAATTATGCATTTTGAGATCTCGCCTGAATGGATCATTAAGTCTCATGAATATTTCGAGCGAATAAATTCTGTAAATATCTTCTGGCTCAAAAAATTTAGTTGTTATTCGGAACAATGTCTTGATCTTTGTCTGGTGTAACCCTCTCTTCCGCACGCACCCATCACAGCCAAGCGATACTGATGATCGACAATCCGCCTGCCAAGACGGATATAAGCGTGATGGCGGGCCAGGATTAATGTAGATCTGGGGTTGACGACATTATTAGTGGATTTAACGTGATCGATGCGCCTGTTTTAGTGCGGCTCAACATGGGTTTGGACGAACCAGAGCCCCACGCTATAAGCATAGATTTATGGTAATTGATAGTGCTGTAAATGTCGGCTTTCGGAACGTTTCTGATTATCGCAGGCCCCATCATTTGATGTGAGCTCATGTTCACGGTATTGCAATATTTAGTCAGTATACGTGCGAAAGCCAAGATGCTCGTATAGTTCATTCTGTAGTGTCTGGGTATCGCAGCTCGGAATGGCTCGCCGCGAAACCAACGGCCCCTCGGTGCGGTTGCCCTCGCAGCCTTGCAAGGATTACAGTCGCAATCCAGACTAACAAGACGTCTTCCCAGACAGTCAAAGCACTTTGAAGATCTCTCACAGATCCAGCCTAGGAATAAAACAAACGTATAAGTCATTTCCCAAAAGAGATGTTTAGTCTATCACCCCCACCGGTATTTCCAACTGCCGGGGACTCGTGTCAGGGGTAGTTCAGCGCGCCCGAGCTACTGGGCCAAGGCTGATGTTATTGCCTTACGGATGGAGTAATTCCGCACTATGACATTGTGAATGCAAGGCTGTCTTAGTTATAATGGTTAATACCACGCGATACTGATGCCATTCGTTAGAGCCGTTGATCCAAATATCCCGGATATGTGGGATGGAACAGTGTAGGAACCTTATCCTGGGTTAAGCTTGACCTCAATGAGTGCAAAGAAATGCAACAGACTGGAAAATCTATCCGACATCGCCTTTTAAGCTGAAGAGTGGGACTTTGGACGGGTCTGAAGTTCTTGTTGTGATGTTCGTTTTGATGCGTGAAGCTGCCTGTCATTCCTGTGCTGCGAGTAGCTGCTCAGCCGCTCTCCGACTGAAGCAACGGACACTCAACCATAGTCGGCCATGCCAACAGCTCAAACACGATGTGATCGAGCACCTTAGTCCATGCAAGTCTCAGCTTAAGGTAACCCTGAGAGAATGCAATGCTCCCAACAGGGTAAGTGAGTGACGCTGCTCTGCGAGATTGACAACCATCAGGGGGCATCACCGACAACCCACCACTATCATCCCACGGACGATCGGGAGGTCGGTAATTCAGCCATTCTCCTCCGAGAAGATGGACAATAAATTTTGGTTAGACTTGTGCAGATCGGTGATGTAGTTACCGGATAGTTCAGTTCCGCTGCGCGTTTGTATGTCCTCCTTGCCAGCACATCAACCAAGCTAGACAAGATCAGTCAAGGCTGAGGAGGAAAACGTCCTGGGAAGGAAATTGTGATAGCCGTGACAGAAGAAAACTCATCGTGAGATTCAATTGTGTCTTTGTGAGGCTTGATGATACAATTCTTGAGAGTGATGTCGATGAGGGAGACGAACACCTGGAATCAGGAGATCGAAGTGAGAAACAGAGGAGTCCAAGAAAGGGTTGTCAAGGAGAAAGAATCTGAGTATATAACACCTTGAAAACTCCCTCAAACTTTCTCAATCATCCACTCGCATCATCAACTTGCTCACTTCCCATCAACACAACTGAGCTTCATCTACAATGCCCTCTCTCATCTCCATCACGGCCCTCTTAGGTGCCCTGGCCTCCCAGGTCTCGGCATCTCCCGCCAACATCGCCAAGCGAGGACTCAGTCTTCCTCCTTTGATCCCCAAGATCCCAGGAGTAACTGAGCCTCTGGCTGACAACGCTCCTCCTCTGCCCATTCTCCAGCTTCCTACTCCTCCATTGGACAGCCCCCCTTTCAAGGTCTCCAACATCAAGCCCAAGAAGATTGGATACTTCTGGACTGGTGCTGGTGATAACAAGCATGCCGATTTCTTGGTTACTGCTAGTCTTGATGATGTAAGTTCGCCGAGTTCACACTGGGAGGGAAATAAGCTAACAGACTAGGACACCTTTGGTGAAATCATCGACATCACTGATGTCAACACCAGCGGTAACTCACCCCACCATCTAGGCACCTCCCTTGATGGCAAGACCCTCGTTGGAGGCGGTCTTCTTTCTCTTCTAAAGACCCAAGACACCGCTTTCTACTTCGACACTTCGGACCCATACCATCCCAAGTTCGACCACAGCAACCGCGGTATTCTCGGTTCCATCGTCGATGAGATCCGCGCCAAGCCTGACGGCGGTTTCTTCATCACCTACATGGGCAGTGCCGTCGGTACATCGCCCGGCCGATTGATCGAGACTGATGCCAATGGTAACATCATCCATGAGTGGCCTGAGGATGTTGAGGGTACTCTTAACATTCTTGGAGAGCAGTTCTCTCCTCATGGTTTGAGTGTAGACTTTGATAAGAACATCATTCTCACTTCTGACTTTGTTGTTCCGATCACGATTCTCAAGCCGACTCTGGGTATTAAGAAGGCTGATACTCTTCGCCTTTGGGATCTCAAGTCTCGCAAGATCATCTCTACTATCACTATTCCTAACGTGAGTTGCCCGAGTCAAGACCGGAATACAGCTAACAGTCACAGGGCCAAGGTATTCAGGACGTCAAGTTCATTCCCGGTAACAAGGAGAGTGCCGCTCTAGCTACGTCAGTCCCCCTTAACGCTCAGCATTCGTCACTCCAGATACTAACTCACGTCTACAGTGCTGTTGGTCCCGGCCAAGTCTGGATCATCTACCCCTTCCGCAAAGACTCCAAGGGCAACCAAGGTGTTGCCGAACTCCTCTACGATCTCGGCGACAAAGCCAAGGACTCCCTCGCCATTTACTCCGACATCACCGACGACGGAAAATTCGCTTACTTCACCATCACGCTCGGCAACCACATCGCCGCTCTCGACATCTCTGACCTCGATAACGTCAAGCGTCTTGATGATCCTGATGAGGAGCAGCCCATCATTGGACCTCACTATGTCAAGATTTCTCCTGATAAGAAGAACCTGCTCGTTACTGGCTACTTTGTTCAAGGTGGAGCTGTAAGTTCTCATTTCTAGACTTGATGAGTTTGTGCTAATGTTTGTAGATCTCTATTGTCAACACTCCTGCTGATTACAAGGGTCACTGGATTGACATCAACGATGACGGATCGCTTAGCTTCAACCGCACCATTGACTTTGAGAAGATCTTTACCAAGACTCGTGGTGGTGCGCGACCGCACAGTGCTGTCATCTTTGATCTCACTGATCCTAAGAACCCTATCTACTATTAGAGCTTGTCTTTGGAGAGGTGCTCCAAGTTTGAAGTAGTTCTTGGCATACATTCTGTGTTGAGAACGCACTCGGAGAACGACACAAGCTCTTGGGTTTAATGACTGTTAGTTGGATGATGGACTGTATATTTTTGTTCCTTCGTACCTCTATGAGGTTTTCATTTAGTGGCCTGACGTGTTTGCCTTTATATTCTATTTAGTTCAACATGACCAATAATTTGTTCCTTGCTTTCACAAGACTTCCCTTTACTTCATTGTCCTGTCCTTGTTCCTTCTCAACCTTCATCATCACAGCCTTTATTCTGAACCCCAACTCTCGCTGAAACAATTTAACCATAAAGCTTAATCAATGGGCCGTTTGTGTATAGAATCTCTTGGCGCATATCCATTCGAGAAGCTTCCCATCAATCATGTCTGTCAACGCCACACCATCCTCGTCCACGAAGGTGACGACAACTAGAGAGCGCATCGCACTGACTACTCCATTCTCGCCGCCCAGTAGTTGTCAGCCCAGTTGGAATAGAACGAGCTTGGTTTGGACTCAGGATGGCACCTTCACATATCTCGTTCTAGTGTCAGTATCTCCAACTTCATGCTACCCCTCTGGCTGGGAGAGCAGCGAGGCTGAGTCTCTATTCACCTTTAGTCCAGCTGTCTGTCCTTCTGGCTGGGACTATTGGAAAATGGCTCGTTCTGGCGACTCTCCAGCGGTCTCAACAGCATACTGCTGTGAAAGGTTCCACCCCTGAGGTTCCTGCGCCCCCGAGAGCAAGGAGACTAATAGAGCCATTTAGCGGATTCACTTTTAATCCTTATGATCGAGGTGGCTATGTTGCCAACGGCTTCTTTACTAGCGGTTGTGGACGATGGGTCCAGACGACGACAGGCATATCCCAAGGCGATGGCACAGCGATTGCAATGCTGTCTGGCTTATCCAACTACCAAGATTCTAGCGCAATGGATGGGACTTTCATGGTTCATCAAGCCTGGGAAATATCCTGGGGCTCATCTGAGAGGTCTGATCTCACGCCAATGCCTCTCACGTTGACTGATGGTGAGAGGGTATCGTCTTGGAAACCAGGCGAGACACTTCCCGACGACAGCCGCCCAACTGAAAGTTTTGATCAGAGCCAAGGGTATATCAGCAGCTCTGCGGTGTGGTTTCTGATGGTCGGAATTCCCATCATAGTGTTTGTGCTGATTGCGGGTTGCTGCTGGGTGTGTATTAGGCGGAGGATTAGAGAAGGGAGGATTAGAGTTGCAGCAGTGGCAGCTTCTCCCCTGACACAGGCTAGTGATAGACGTTCTTCTGTGACGCTTGTTTCGTAAGGTCATGGGTTGAAATAGAGTGAGGAAGTCATAGACAGGGGCGATGAGGAGGTGGGAGTACCGATGATAACCCGAGGTCTTGCAGTCACATAAGTTTTGTAAAAAAGAAAAGTCAAGGTAATACTATATATGATAGTGTTTATAAGAGAAATAAATAGAACCAGATCTGAAGATATCATGGTAGGCTTGTCGTTTGACTGCTGCTCGATGGTTTATCCTCATGTGTCGTGCCCTCAGCTACTGGCCACATTCTGCGACCATCAAACTTATCATTTGCAATCCACTCCTTGTTCTCCCCCATATGCGTCACATTCATCATCGGCGGTATTAGTGACTCAGACCCCTCTGGCAGAGCTTTGAGCCGCATAATCGATGTATCATATGCATACAAGCTCAAAAGAATACAGCCACCATTCTTAGGAGGATCAAGAACATAAGCGCCTCCGTAGCTGCTCTGCCGATTATCTTCATCATCTGGACAAGAATAAGCAGCATTCCAGCCATCCAAACAAAGATCATGATTCCAATCATCTTCAGAGAAGGAGAACGGCTCTTTATCTCCGCAGCCGCTCTGATCAGGCGCCCATTTGGCCGACACGATAACTGTGTAGCCATCTTCTTCTAGAGCCACGTTCTGACCGAATGTGTTATCGGGGTCAAGCGTGTAGCTAGAGTCGCAGAATGATCCTACAACTTGCCGTGCTTCGTCTTTGGTGAATTCCAGATAGTCCGGATCTCTTTCGTAACAATAGGCTTCAGCTTCGTTGATGGCTGTGTTGGTAGGATATGATGTGGTAGTTTCCGATGGCTCTGTGGTGGTTGACTCTCCAAATGTTGTCGTCGCCTTCGGGTATGAAGTGGTGATAAAGGAAATGCCCTTAATAGTGACCGAGATAGTACTGCCGACATAGGAGGGAAGAATAACAGCCGAGGTTCCTCGCATCTTGGTCTTTGACGCTGACTCGACATCGGGGATGGAGTAAGCGGTTCTATCAACGGTAGCATATCCGTCGTTGACGGGGTATGGTGTTGAACTGACGATCACACTTGCTGAAAAGGTTGTCTTGTACGTGGATCCCAAGTTTCCGAGGGCGTTGTTCTCATCACCAAAGTCATCACCATAGTCGACAGGGGTGAGAGGACAAGAGGCTCCTGTGGTTGTAGCTGTTGCCGTGAGGAAACAGCCTGTGATGACTTCAGTCGATGTAGTTGTGCATGAGGAAGACTCGCAAGATACCCAGTAGTCGGTTACTTGAGAAGTTGTGCAGTCGCAGCCGAGATATGTGTTGCAAACAGTGGCACAGGGCTTTGTCGTGCAGACTTGATGACATTCAGTGTTTGTCTCTGTAGCGCAGTCCTCATCTTCATCGTCATCATCATCTTCATCGTCATCATCATCTTCATCGTCGTCGTTGTCGTCGTTGTCGTCGTTGTCATCATCATTGTTCTTCTCACATCCAGGGCCAACACAGTTTCCTCCTGGCCCAGGACATCCTCCACCAATGCACCCAATCGAGCTACCACCACTTCCTCCACCACCTCCGCCTGGGGAGCAACCGAACAAGCATGGCTTACCGCAGCCAGACTTGCAGATAGGCCCGGGAGGTCCAGCGGTGATGATGACACCTGGAGCGATCCCTGGCGGAGGTCCAATATCCACATCATCAGTGGGAAGGGGTCCAGGCTTGTAGGTGTAGGTAATGCCGTGGGTTGGTTCGGTTAATGTGACTGGGGGTGGGATAACACTACCGCGTACAGGCACAGATTTGGACGTTGACTCTGTCAGTATCACGTTGGACACGCCAATCTCCGAAGTTGTAAGAGGCGGTAGTGTGATCCTCACAGTGATAGTTGTTGTCCCATACTTGGTGACGCCGCTGGTAGTCTCCGGCCATGTCTCTTTGAAGGTCTCGGTGATGACAGGGAAACTGATCGTCGTCTTGGATGAGAGTGGCCATGGTGGGAGGATGAGAGTACAAGGTGGTTGACAGCCTGCTGTAGGGCTCTTGGAGTCCCAGATCTTTGGATCGATGTAGACAGCGTCTTTGTCACCATCGTTGCCTCCGTCATTGTCCCCATCTCCACCACTGTCACCGCTGCCACCTCCGCCATTGCCTCCATCGTTGCCGCCGCCATCACCACCACCGCCTCCACCACCACCGCCTCCACCACCACCGCCTCCACCACCACCGCCTCCACCAGTACCAGGCTCAACAGGAATAGGTCGGCCAGGCTTATCCGGTAGCTTCGGCGTCCAGTCGTGATTGTTGAGATACGCGTTAACCGCGCCCCCATCAAAGACAACAAGATAGTCAGCCTTTCTATCCCCATTGATGTCCGCGTAATGGACAGGGCCCTGGGGACTAACGCCTGCCGCGATAGTCCCCATATCATTCCACTTGCGTCCTTCACCAATCGGAATCTTGCCATTATTGCGATACCCTCGAGCGGCACCGCCATCATACTGAACGATGTAGTCTGCCTTCCCATCTCCTGTAAGATCCGCAAACCGGACCTTGCTGCCAGGCTCGCCAACACCAGTGGCTACAACGATACCCTCTTTCCAGATGCGGCCACCGTTCCTGGGCGGTATGTTCTTGTTGTTCTGCCAGTACTTGACTGCTCCGCCGTCGTAGAGGATGAGGAAGTCTGCGTAACCATCGCCATCAAGGTCTGCAAACTCAACCTTACTCCCTGGCTCACCGACACCTGGAGAAATAGTAATTCCATCCTGCCAGATGCGTCTATCCCCAGGATCTGGCAGGTTTCCGTTGTTGAGATACGCTTTGACAGCTCCTCCGCCGTAAATGATCAGGTAGTCAGCGCGCTTATCACCGTTGACATCGATGAACTCGATGCGTGAGTCGGAGAGATCCTCGTCAAAACCCGGCGCAATCTCGCCGATTGCTTCCCACTTGTTATCGCCCTTGTTGATCCAAGCCCTAGCTCGTCCTCTGGAGTCGACAGAGATTAGGTCATCTCTTCCTTCGCCTGTCAAGTCGGCGAAGCGGATGCTCTGACCTTTGGTTCCAGTGATACCAAGGTTCTTCCACATGCGGATGCTTCCATCATCGGCAACAGCAAGGAAGTCAGCCAAGCCATCACCGTCCATGTCGGCAAAGCGAATCATTTCGCCTGTGACGCCCTCTATGCCAGGTGCAATTGTGCCCAAGTCGTCCCAGTTACGGTCGCCTTCTTTCAGGGTGTTGCGGAACGCTTTTACAGCGCCGCCATCATATATGACAAGATAATCTACGCCGAGTTAGTATATCAGTACACCTATCGGAATACTCAAAACTCACCAGCCTTTCCATCGCCATCAATGTCTCGGATACTGGTCGAGTCTTGTGGTATGCCAGCTGGTCCAGGGGCGATAGTGGTTTCAGTCTCCCAGTTCTTCTTGCTGCTGTCCTTTCCATTGTTGTGCGTGTTACGCGCCCACTTGACAGCACCGCCCCCATACACAATAACATAGTCGGCATATCCGTCGCCATCAATGTCCTCAAACCGAACCTTGTCTCGAGATGCAAGACCGGTTGCCCATCTGGAATCGAGGGACTCGAATTTCTTTCCATTGTCCACGTTCTTCCAGACCTTTGCAGCGCCATCTTCATATAGAGCAATGAGATCTGCCTTGCCATCGTTATCCACATCGGCGAGACGGATCATGTCGCCTTTGATGGACTTCCAGTCTGGGTTGATATAACCGATACTCTTCCAGTCATTGGGCTTACCTCCGTTGATCCAGGCACGCATCTTACCATCCTTGTCAGCAAGGACGTAATCAGCGATACCATCGCCGTTCAGATCAGCCAAAATGACCTTTTCGCGTGAGGAATTCTCAGCAGAGCCTCTGATGGTTCCGACAGGCTCCCATGTCCGAAACCCTTCGAATACAGTTCCCTGTTTCTTCCAGATCTTACCTACAATCTCCTCTTGAGCGCCTCCTGTTCCTCCACCGACACCGAGACCAACACCAGGAAGTCCAGCAGCATCTATCTTGGTCGGGGCTTTCAACCAACCTCGTTTGTCAGCCTCGAGGATGGCATTCAGCCAAGCGTCGGCCATCTTCTCATAGCCACTGTCATTTGGGTGCTTCTCATCCGAAAGATCGCTTGCATTGATGTCTATTGGGACTTCGAGGATATGCTTTCCAGCCTTTTGTCTCTCCTCAATTATGGAAATGACTTGTGGATTGAAGCGGTCAGTGTTCTCTTGCATTCTGGGGTTGTTAGCCCATATGACAGGAGCAACAAGAACAGTGGTATCTGGAGCATTCTGAAAAAGCCCATCAATAATGGACGCTAACATATGAGGAGATCCCTCAAGGTCAACCTCCAGGTCCATATTGTTCGTACCGGCATGTACAAGAACAACGTTGGGGCGTGCTGCGATAGACAGCTTCCAGTACGTATTGATCTGCGCAAGGACCTTTCCACTGTGGCCTTCGTGGTCATTGTCTGCCATGCCAGTGGGAGGGTGCTTCAAGCTACCGACCATGTCTACTGAAGTACCGCGACCTATGAGTTTCTCACGGAGGCGGTTTCTGTAGCCTTTTTGGTCTTTTGAGCCGTTGCCTTTGGTGATTGAGTCTCCGAGGGGCAGTATGCGAAGACTAGGAAGTGCGGAAGCAAGTGGTGATATGAGTGCTATGAGCACCATCATCATCATGATGGCGCCCTGAAGCGTGAATGGCGGCATAAGGAGTGGTGTTATTGACAAGTTAAGAGATAGAGATAGATTGCTGTAGACTTTGATATGAATAGAATGACAATGTCATTGGTGATAAACATTAACTGACTTCGTCCCTTTCTTCTTATAAGTCGATTCTCATGACAGGAAGAAACATATCTATCTATCAGTCTTTCCATCAAAGATATCACGGCCCCCAACCCTCATTTACTTCGCCTCGGACACATCTATCTGCTTCATTAGTGCTGTTGATGAACAGTTGTTGGTTCCAGGATATTTGGCAACTTACTAAAAAGATGCAGGAGAAATGAGACGGAGGTTTCTTCTTTGGATTCTAAAATTGTCGATCGTGAGTCATATTCAGCTCTTGATTGGATTCTTTTGTTATCGTGAGCAAGTGTGCCCTGGTGGTTAAGTCGGCTGCGCCTTGTGTTGGTTGAGCATGGCATCCACCACACAACTTAGAGCTTGAAGGTTAGGTCTGTTGGTTCTGAAATACCTCGAAAACCCATGCGAGAGGATCCTACGGCGAAATTATTCAGAAATTTTGGGCATTCAAGGATGGATGTCCCTGTCAGAAATGCTCACAAGACTTGGAGCGCATTGCGCGCTTGGATGGCTATCGAAGATCAGCTTCGTTGAACCAAAATAGAGTAACATTCAACTCCAATGAGTTCAAAATTAGGGCCAATGGCACAACAAAAGTTGCCTCAATCACTGTGGACTCAGCAAAACAGGGCTTCTCTAGTATGCTTTTGCTGAGAACAGCCTACAATACTCATGCTTTCTCTTCAGCGACTCGTTACACCAGTTACGGTTGAATAGTGACTTTATTCACCCTGAAGAAGGAGAGCGCTTGTGGCAGCGAATGATGCCATTGATGCTGACCCCTTCCGCGCGGTAGACCGCGGTAAATAACGCGAGCATTGAGGGCCAAGACATGGGCCAGGACAGAGGACAAAAATAAGAAGTGGCTGCAGTTGGATCATGCAGGAACCTTTTGACGCCCCATTGTAAGAGACATGCCGTGCTTCTCTGATTGGAGGTAAAGCAAAGAGTCTGCCTTGTTACGACATGATGATATGATGCTGTTGGCTTTATTCCCAAGGCGACAGACTTCCGATGCTGTTGGTTTAAGCTTACAGGATAAAGGATCCTCGAATGTAACCTCACGGACCAGAAATAAACTGCCGATGTTATATGAAACGTCCGGGTTCGTGATGCGGCCCGGCTCCGTTGTTGCAGCCACCAATCACAGCACCACTTGAAGCGCTGCTGAAGATCTCAAGATCACAACCAACAACACGCCCACGCTATCTTTAACCCTTCCTTCGAGTGGCAGAAAAAGCCTCATGACCTGAATTTGACAAGGTACAACCAACAATGCAAGGCGCAATAGGGTCAATGAAACAACGCAACCAACAGCTCCCATCCGATGTGGCGATTATGCGAACTCGACCTTTGCACTGCGGTTCCTTCAGACTTGCTGCAATCAAGAAAAGACACCTGAGGTCTTCAATGAGTCTCGAGGTTTCAGTTATTACTATTCTATAACTATGTGTCCGTTGCCAATCTAGAAATTCTGGAACAGTTCTATGTCCCTCCTATCATTTACAATTTTGTTGAACCCTAATACAACCATTGAATATGCATGCAAAGCGTAATATGCCGGGCAGAGTTGCTTTGAGTTCAATCTCACTCCTCCTTTTATCACTACTACTTCTCCATTCCTCTTTCATCCCCTCCTTTCATCTATCGTCTTGGGATTCTCCTGTTGTCGGCCTTGACGACGACTTTCGTAACTCTCTACCCCTTGATCTTCTTGTCAAAAGGGAGGATGCGAAAATCGATGTCTTCAAGAAAGCCCTCGACAAGGGTAAAGGGCTCCTCTGCGATATGGGTAAGTCGCAAGAGGAACTCGAGGAGGAAAATGGAAAGTCAATGGAGTCACCATCCTACCTCCAGCAATCTGGCATAGAGGAGAGAGAAGGCTGGGAAATAGAGGGAGACCCACAGCCTAGCTTCAAGGACTATCTCGATGAAGCTCTGGCAGCTCTTGGAGTTTCCGATGATCTTCATCATCAAAGCTGGATTCACACATCGGGAGGAATCATCTCAACCACTAATCCGGGTGATTTGGCGAGCGGAACAAGCGGCCAGGTATGTCAGATACTCATTGCCGTGATTGGCTCTAGATTACAGGAGTCAGTCTACTGATGCCGCTCACAGGACACAGGTGCTTACTTTAGAAACTCTTTTGTTGTTAATCCTGGTGTCATAATTGCTGATGTCAATTATGCCGTCTCGGCCGCTACAGGAGGTAATGATGGCAAGATGACAGTTACTCATGTCAAAAAGGTGACGAACTTTTGCCCCGTACGATTCTTCCTGCTCTAAGCTGACAAGATGCCAGTGGAGTGATGCTACCTGGATGCAATGGGTAAGTACGCCGGGCCATTCTCAACCCTTTTCGGTATAAAGTCTTCAACATACTAACTCATCCTCATGATAGGATAGGGTCTGCACTGAAGCTGGCGGGGATGTCAATGATCTGAAGTACATTATTCGTTCCAAGATCGAGAATCACACCACTCTCGAGATAATACTCAAGGCCATCCTCTCCAGACACAATAGAAACCCAAGAAGAAACAAAAAGACGATCGGAACCTGGAGAAACAAAATAACCTTCACTGCTGCAAAAGAAAAAGAGGAGTTCCCCGCCATCCTTGGTAGCCCCAATGGAGCGGGGGCAGCTTTCATGTTGATCAACCACAAGAAACGGCTCGGGGTGAAGACTATCAAAAGGATCGACGTGTTTGTTCCGGAAGGTAGTTTTGAAGTTACTGAAACTGATGTCGAGGAGAAGCACGAGGAGTGGAATGTTATGATGTTGATGTATATTGTCAACCCTTGATGAGGCTACTATGTTGTTTGAAGAGATGGGCAATTGGGATACCTTATTGTGATAGATTTAGCCTAACGCTTTCTTTGAATCAACAAGCCTGGAATTTTACCCTCAGTTTACGATTACATCGTTGCAAGTATTGTATAACCTTACCTGTAGGGTTAGATTAGTGCTTGTTACAACTGTTGTTCTTCTTCATCTTGCATTGTTGATGCTTGTAGCCCTGTCACCAGCTTCTTTTGGCATATCGGTTTATTCATGTGCAAACACCGATTAGGTGCTGACTTGGAACTGCTACTTGTCTATATGCGAACTTGCTATGCGGTATCAGAAGAACATGGACAACTTGTATGGAACACGAGAGTCCTAATTTCATTTTTAGAAACATATTCGACTATAGGGGTCAATCATTCAACTGTTCCTCGGCTTCTACGCTGTGCTTCTTGGCGCTCATCCAGCTCTTCCTTCCATCTCTCTCTCAGTCCAGCTTTTATACTTGCAACCTCTTCACAAGGCAGGACACTTTCCCAGGCGAAGAAATAGAATGTATCATTTCCATACCAATGTTTGCCAACTGGTGAGTGCATGCCCAAAAGATACATCCTCCATGCGTCCCAGAATGCAAAGCCAAGAGGGCGGAACGAGTTGAACTTGACACCTTCAATTGGGGATGCACCACCGGTAGGATGATGGCGAGGTTTGCTGAGACCTTTGAAGATGGACATTCCGGGGGCGTCGTATCCCAGGTTCTCCTTGGTCCGGCCCCAGCTATAGTCCTCGGTTTTCTCAACGCGGGTGAAAGTACTGCCATCTTTACGATGGTGGGTAATCTTTGCAAACTGAGGGCTGAGGTTGGGTGGCGCTGTGATCCATCTCGTAAACCTGGGAGGGCTGGGTAACCGGTAGTATGTATCTTGTGTTAAATCCCCAAGTGTCTCCAGATAGTCCATCACAGATCTGACCTCTTCAGACGCCATAGCCGGGTTGCCTTCAACGGCATCGGCAAAGTCAGCAGCTTCCATGCGACCAAGTTTCTCAACATCTTCCGTCGACCATCCCAAGCTTTCCTTCTGGCCCTTCGTCTCGCCGATAAGCTGTAAAACCCACAGAGCACGGACAGCTCGCATCTCCTCTACCCATGTGGGTTGTCCCGCGTCAGTCACCTTGGCAGGTTCGCCCTCGAACACCTGATCCCAAGCCCGAATTCGTTTACCATCTGGGTCGGGTCTGTATAAGCTTGTGTATCGATTGTCTGGATTAACAAGATGTAGTGGTCTGAAGCCAGGATCTCGCACTCGTTCAAGACATGATGTCAAAAAGGCTTGAGCAAGAGCATTTATGTGGGCGACTGTTGCAACAACCGATCGAACGACCACCGTGGGAGGCGCCGCTACAGACATCATCTCACGGTCAACAAGTATAGGATCGGGATTGCTTCCCGAATCACCCAATGTCGATCGAGGGAAAAGCGACCGCAGGAACCGGATTTGTAGGTCGTAAAGGTTCCGAAAAGGGCGGGCTTTTGAGCGTACAAGTAAGACAGCACGCACAGCATTTGCAATCTCGGGTATAAGTATCGCGTTCGGACCAGAGAGTATAGCGTCAACGATGGTAACAGCATGATCGTTAAAGAGGCGCCATATGTGAGGGGATGCCTTCATCAGATCCCAAAGTGTGTCGAGGCCAGGAAGATTCTTGACGATGGGAAGCAAAACCTCTGGGGGCAATGTCTCCAAAGATGCTGCCTGTTGAAAACGTGGAGCAGTCATGGTATAAGAAGGCATATTGGCGATTCGGATGAGAGAGAAGGAATTTGAATGAGTGAAACCTGTCTGAGCGGGCGGGGAGGTGAGCGCTTAAACCAACAACCCCAATCCACGAAACACGCCAGCAACCAACAGCCCTACCCCTGTACTTTGTTGGCTGCACTCGCTCAAAAGTTGCACCCGGATTGGATTCTTGGCCGATCATGGCCTATTCTTTCCAACTCCACAGCTGATTGCATGGCATCTAGTGGTAGTAAGGGCAGGGTGATGAAGAAATGGGCGCCCGGGGGTGCGATGCCGCCCTGGACCAGTTTATAGCGCTCGCTAATGGTGGGGGACGCTATGGTCATAGGGGGTTTGCTGATGAAATGGCATTTCTTAAACTCGATGAAACAAACAGCCCTAAAAGAATGAATAAATATCAATAAGGAGTGGCATTGAGTTATTTAAGTTCATGCTCGAAGTGCTTGGCATTGCCAAGTTCAATTCCGGCGCACTCCTCTTACTGGCCTCCTGTTTCGGCATCTGAAGCACCGTACATAGCAGATGACGACGACGACAAGAACAAATTTTTAGGGACACCAATTACCAGGAATTTCCCTCCACTCTTTGATATTGGTCCATCATCTGAGGGTGTTCTGTTCCATTTGCCATCGAGAATCTCATCTCCAGAAGTCCAGGTCGGGACATTCATATCTTTAGTCAACGTCGGCAACTGTGATGTCAACGTTGAAGTGTCAGATCTATTCCAGTACACAGTCCAGGCTTCATGCAGCATCAAAGTACAGCCTAGTTCGGGACTGTCTGGAGTGGTATGAGCATCGGGACTGTGTGCCCAATGACCCTAATTCTTGGTCGAGTAAGGCCCAATCTCGGTCATTTAACGGAGTACAGCCACTTGAATTGACGTCCTGGCTGCTATTCGATCCCCATATACGAACACAGTAAATAAACACCTATTACAGCAACGAGCCATAGAAATCTCGGAAGTTGTTGTTAGCATGTCGTAGTATATCCAACCATTAGGACAGACTGCCGGATAAAAGTCAAAGCGACTTGTACAATAACATCCTCCCAACCAGATGGATAACATGACGACTCAGACGTTGAAAGGAGAGTTGGCTCCAGAGACTTTGGGCGGCCAGAAGGGAAGACGCTTGTATGGGCAAAGTTTGAGTCGCATCCACGGGGTTGTTCAAATGGAGTGGTGAGACTCAGAAGTTTTGTGACTGTAGACGCTATCACTTGTGTCCTTAACGTATGAAAAGAAGAACTTTCGCTCGTAGACTCGGTGTCAGTTGACATTGTTGTGACTGAAGGTAGATGCAGAGGAATTTGGACGAAGATGCTGCAGCGCAGGTGAGGTTGACTTTTAATAGTATATAGGATAGTGGCACAGTCGACATTCAGACGGGGTTCCCATGGTATTAACAAGATTGGAGGAGAATGCAGGCTAATCGACAACTAATATGTTTAGAGAATGTTACCTGAACCTGCTAAGATGATCCTTATTGTGGTTAAAATAGGGTACCTTTTAGTAGCTGCTAGAGCAGATATTTAAATTTAAAGCTTAGAGGTTGTATAAATATTAGGGGCTCTCTTAGTATATCCTGCAAGTGATAGAGAATTTGGTAATTAAGGTAAGGTACCTACTATACCAATACTATTCATTTATTAATATATTTGGCAAAAGGCACGGCCCAGCCTTACAGTATCTTCCCAGTTGGCTATGACTTATTAAGCCAAGCCGAGGTAGAACAAGAGTAGGATCCCTACTATTGCCTGAAATTATAAGCATTTTGGTCGCTTCTATTAACTGACCTTAATTATCGCTTACCAAGTTTAAGTTATAATACTAATATTCGCTGATCTTCTGTGTTTATATGGCTAGGATGCTGCTTATTTATATCTAGATAATAAAGATAATTAGCAAAGTAGCTATAGAGGCGAATATATTCTTAATCCTCCTAAGAATAATAGCTATCTTCTCTTAAGCCTATATATATATAATACATTAACTATGCGGCTTAAGGCTCTGCCTAAAGGGGCAGAGTCACTAATATTACTTATAATAAATATAACCTATATAGGTGAGAAGAAGTAGTGGGTTGCAAATAATAAGTCTGATGGCCGCCGAATATGGCTAGTAGCTGAGGGCACGATATATAAAGGAAACCTATTAACTACTGGTGAGGCGCAAACTAAGAGTCTGCCATGATGTCCTCGTATATAGAATCATTGGTTTCTTTTGCACTTATTCCCCGGATTTCTTTGTATACAACATTATTTATTTTTTCCTGCAAGCTTTGTGCGACTACAAAACTTCTCAATCGCCCTTGACGTTCTGCCTCTCTCTATCCCCTATGTGCGCTGCTGTCACGCTCTATCTAAGGCGCTTACGAGACTAGTGTCAGAGACGAGCGTCCTTCACCAGTTCGAGGCAAGGACGAGTATCTCTTTGCACGTCTGACCTTTGCACGCCTTGCGCACCGAAATCTGGTCAATAGCCACCTTACTCTAGCTCTGCGGTTTGATCCTCCGCAAACCACGGATCACGTAGAATATCCTCGATCATGGGTCTTTTAGAAGGATCATACTGAAGAATTCGACGAATGAGTCTCTTCACCTTCTCTGCCTCCTCATCAGCCAACTCCGGGGATGTTAAGTCGAAGGCTTCCTCCATAGAAGTCTGTTCTAGCATAAGCGGCTCTTCACCCTCGCCGATGCCACCAAGCTGGCAATTATAAAGCTTTCTGTCCTTGGTGTAGTACCGCGAAAAGGTTTCCCAGCGGCTGTAAAGCTCGTCAGGAAGTGGGCCAAGCTTCGCCTGGAGCTCAAGAATACGGTTATCATCTTCTTCGGTCCTGTCGTCGTATGCAGGAATACAGAAGAGAGGTTGTCCGGTGATGAGTTCAAAAACAAGACAACCAAAACTCCAGATGTCGAGAGACTTGTCCACCTCTCCCTTGAGAACAAGCTCCGGCGCCCGCAAGCCAAGCGGGGTGATAGGCTTCTCGGGAGGATCGTTAAGAAAGTAGGCTACTCGTTGTAAGTTATATCCCAAGTAGAAACAGATCGAAGAGACTTACCACCACCCATATCAGATAGCTTGACCCAAAGGTTCTCGGAAACGTTCGCGTAGGGTGCTAATGGTTGTGCAACGCAGAGATATCGCGGGGCCCATTTGTCTTGCTTGCCATCAAGTCTCTCTACAGGAGGCGAGATTGACTTTGTCTGGACGTTCTCTTCCTGGCGGAGGGACGCTTCATCAAGGAAATCGATAGACTGGACTGAGAATAAAATATTGCCGGGCTGGAAATCTCCGTGCGCAACACCATTCTTGTGAAGGAATGCCAGCCCCTGCAAAGATTGCTGGAGGATGCGTTTCGCCATCTGGGGGGGGTAGCGAATCTTCATTCCATACTTGCGTGGTTTAAATTGGGGCAATTCGTATACCATGGAGTTGACAGATGGACCCATGGGTTCAAAGACAAGACACTTATGGATGCCATTTGGGCCTTTATGCTCAAACTCTGTGAGAAGTTGAGTAACATGCCGAACCCCGTCTTGGGGGGCAACCTTGGCGAGATGGTGTAAGACACGCAACTCATGGCTGGTCTCTGTATTCTCTGAGATAAGAATCTTGAGGGCAATATAGCGAGAGTTTCTAAGAACGTTGTAAGCCCGTGACTAGAACGCGGACTAGTGTAAATTAGCCAACCTTAGGTCGCGCGCAAGCCAGACAGTTGAGTAAGCACCCTCTCCAAGCTTCCGGATCACCTTGAACTGGCCATTATTGAATAAATCACCGAGGTGTACAGGATGGAAGCCGCCTGGGTGGTAGTCCTCTATCCATTCGCAAGGCGACCTAATATCCTTGAATCGCCGCTCTCGGTCTTCCGGTGCCCTTGAAGGCGGGGTTGGTGGAGGTGAAGCGCTCATTGCTGCAACAGAGATGTGGTGTCTGTAGCGGTTTGGGTTCTGTGCAAGAACAATAGAGAGATGTGCAGAAAAACAAGAAGAGTTCAAGGGGCGTTTGAGTGATCTTCCTAGGATCATCGGAAGTTGGAGGTTGGTAAATAAAGCGTGAGAATCTGGTACTGTGGAACAAGAGCGGGATCCCCACTGTTGCCCGAAACTATGAGCATTTTGGTCGCTTCCATCAACCTACCTCAATTATCGCTTACCAAGTTCAAGTCATGACACTAATATTCGCCAATCCAATTGACAGCCTCAAGAGCGAAACGTACCTGATCTCATGCACTGGGTCAGGCAATGCAATCGCTGCGATGCCATGATTTACAGGGATCTCCCCCACCAGGCTAAGATCAATCGGGGCTCCATATGCAAGTGACCCTTGCTTAATTTCCTGAGATGGCCACAAGGCTGAATTTTCCCCCCTTCTCCATCACGATGCGCAATTAACAAAGTCCTGACGCGCCGCTATGTTCAATCGAAAGCGTCGCGGCGTCACAGATGAGGAACGGCTCAGCAGTTACGAGCTCGACTGGCCAACCTCGCAACGATGGAAGCCAAACTACTCCGTCCCGCGCAACTCGCTCGAGTATGATCTCAATACATCACGAGACTCATTTGACCCAAATAAAGAGTCCGAGAGACGGCCCAATGTACCGCATCCAATGTCTTTCGGGAGTCGGCGCGACATGGATACCTCTGCTAAGGCCATTCGACAAGGACTTCTGGACCAGGGTGCCGATGAAGAGGAGTTCTCTAATTTGAAGCTTTGGATAGAGACGATGTCTGAGTTGTACATGAACGATCTCGATAATCGGGCTCGGTGGGATCCACGTTGGCTCAATGTTACTCGCAGAGAGCGCTTCGAAGGGCTTGAATCTGTCGCCATATCAATTGTTGACTACTTCGCCAATGAGACGGTGGAGAAAAGCGAACTCGTCACGACAAAGAAGGATCTCGCGGTAGCTCTCGACTCGAGACCGGAGAGCTCCCAGGTGCGAGTCATTATGGTTAGCGATTTGAGTCGCTTCGTCATGGGTGTGCTGGGTCAATTGTACTCAGTAGATCCCGAATTCTGGTACGAACATCTCATCGCCTCAGGGTACTGCGCAAGCGACAGTGGTCTCAAGTTGAAGAATGCAACGTGGATGAACTGGGCCGAACAAGAAACGCGTTTCCGTCATCGTCCTCTCCCGGGGATCGGTCAGCGAACAGAATGGAACCTGTCACGTCGAACCAAAGCTCGTAAATGGGCACATCTTCGTTGGGGTCGACTTGGTCTCCTTCATTACCTCGGGCGCAAGGGGTTTTACGAGGATGAGATTGTGAAGCGCATCTCTGATGGACGCTGGACAATTGAACGAGACGTTGTTCTTGACAAGCATGGGCTACTTCTGACTGACAAGAGAAAGAAACGTGCAGAGAAGAAGATGGAGGAAAAGAGAAAGAAAGAGGAAAAGGCAAAAAAGAAGAGCTTGGATGCTTTTGATGTTCCGAAAACATCTAGTGGCCACGAGATTGAAGGCACATCGACAAGGGCCAAAACATCGAATGTGTACCGCCCCTACAGCACGTTCCATCCTGTGCTACCGCAGAACCCAACGTACTGGGGCAATCGAGATCTCAGAGTCATGGCTCCAGAAGGCTTGGGTTATTGGTTAAGTGTTGACAAGGAGGGTCGAAAGACAAGTGAGTATGTTCCAAGCAGACTGGCAATGTCAACTGACACGCGCAGTCATTCTGGTCTTTGACCCTCCACGAACTATGCAACACGATAAGACCAAAGAGACAACACCATCTCTAACCTTCATGCCTCGAGCCATGGAGTTTGAGTCGTATACAGATGAAGAGCTTTGGCGTGTCGCTGACCCTGATGAGACATACCTAGATCCACCTGCGCCAACCTTTACAAAGAAGCAATTGAAGAAGGACAAGAAGGAAGCCAGGAGAAGGCGAGCACAGGCAAGGAATCAACATGAGCAGTCAATTGCTGTCGATGAGAAAGGCAATGACACCGCTTCGGAATACTCCAGCGACTCCGAATTCGATGAAGAGTATCGAGACTCACTTCGAAAGGCCTACAAAGATCGTCAACATTTACTGCGCGATCGCGACTTTGCGCGCAAGTACTCTCTATCCACTTTTGATCTTGTGTACCGATACATAAGCAAGATACCCACCAGCACGCTCAATCAGGACGATTCGATGATACCATCTATCCTCACGCGACTCCCATTCGATGACATGTGGCAGCTCCTAGCCGAACTCCGTCTGATGCAAGATCATATTGATGCTGATCTTGGCGCAGACCTACACATTCATTTGCTTGAAGCTGCTGGCACAATGACAAGACAGAATGTAGCATGGATAAGGTCGACTTTGCAGGAGCTGAGTGAGTGGATTGGCCATTTCAAAAAGTCCAAAAATATTCTCAATCTACCCGAAGAGCTGGAGGAAGAGATGGCCGAGCTCATGGCTGATCTCCAATCCCTACAGTCACGCTCAGAACAAACGCTCAATCTCCTGGTCGCTTCAACAGGCATCGCCCAGTCATCTCTCGTCATCGATCAAACGTCTGGCATCAACAAGCTCACTGAACTCGCATTCTTCTTCATACCCCTCTCCTTCATCACATCCGTCTTCTCCATGCAAGTCGCAGAACTCACCGAATCACCACCCAAGATGTGGACATGGGGTCTCTCTCTCGGCCTAGTCTTTCTCATAACCTACCTCATCCGCAGTTTTGTTCGCTCGCCTTCTGTCAGACTCTCTGCAATGCGAGTCCGTGTAACAATGCTTAACCGTTTTACGCCCAAGTCCCGGTCTGCATCGCACCGTCTCAATTCCGTTGGTAACCGTGCTATCGCCGGCTATCTCTTCTTCTTCCTCATTCGCTGCTTCTTCGTCCTGATAATTTTGACTTTTCTTCTGCTCTTTATCTTCCTTGTACATCTTGGCCTCTGGGCTGGCGCAGCTGGTACGGCGATATACTTTATCATCACGCGATGGCCCGAGCCGGCAGTGCTGGCACCTTGCTTCATCGCGATCGTTCTGGCAGTCATCGGCTTTTACGTTTCGTGCCATTGGGCTACAGACATACATGCGTTTTGGGAGAAATGGAGTGTTGCGGCGGCAGAAATGCTTATGAGTATGTTGCCTGACAAGTGGAAGTTTGATCGAGTTGATGATGAGGATTTGGCGGATGAGGGTGTCAAGACTTATGCGCGACAGGCAATCTTTTTTGCGTCAACATAAGCTGTCAGGGCTTGCATGTATGCTTGTGTTGCCAGGAATGTTCTGCCTTTCAGCAGCCCTGTCCAATTCTCTGCATCTACTGCTTGTGCCTTGTACATCCATTGGTCTGAGTGGCCGCCAACGCCAAGCGGCTGCGAATACTGCAAACGACTTCATGCGCCGTTTGGCATAATCTTGCGCACAGCACATAAGTTATATGGCGCATTGGTCTCGGTAATGGAATAGATAGTTACCCTGACCATGTCAACAACTCGGTATCGTGAAAGCTTTTTAGCTAGAAGCTTATATTGTGAAAAGCAATATCGTGTCCTATTTATGTGTGTCAGTAGCCTAAAGTTTAACCTTATGACTAGCAATCAGCTCCATAGCCAACAAATCAGGGAGAGTCGCAAACATGGAAGTCACAAGAAGGTTTTGTGAATGCTTACGGGATTGGTTGCAGTGACAAACTGAACAGTGCCGAGCAGTGGCATTCTTCTTATCGTTTGCCTGCGTCTACTGGTTGATACGGCCTGTGCCTTCCATGATTTGCTGCGGGTAGTCGCTTCCGTGAATAATCACTCTGCTCACATCCTTCTATTGACGCTGTCGTTTGCTGCAAACCACTTCCTCCTCTTCATCTCACAACAAACATATCATCACTGAAACTCTTTCATCCTTTCAACATGACTCAGGACGATATTCCTACGTCTGACATTGATCCCGCGTTGTATTTTACGCCTCAAACTCACCTCAGCGATTATTCTAAAGAAATGGACACTGAAGAGACATACGCCGTGGATGACCTCTGCGCTTCTTCGATACGCGCTTCTTCCTACAAGCTTCTCTTTGATGGCACCTACTCCGACATATCGATCATCTGCCGCGGTCGAGAGTTCAAGGTTCATCGTGCTATTGTGTGCACGCAGTGCGAATGGTTTGAGAAGGCATTCACAACCCCGCCCAAGGTACGCGACCTCCCATACTATCGCATGCTCTCACTGACTCCTCCCAGAAGCGCACCATTAGGAGTGTGACTCTAGATCAAGACCCCAATGTATTTCAGCATTTTCTCGAGTTTCTCTACACTGGAACATACACTGCTCAAAGGCCTACCGCATCGGTTGAGGCTGAGAGAGCGAAGGAGATTCAAGACAGGCTTGACGGTTATCCGCGTTGCCCCATCGAAAAAGACATCGCAAAAGACAGTGTGCCAGAGCGCCCTGTAAGGCGATCAAACAGGTTATTGTCAACTACACCCGCCACGGCACAGGCAGAAACCGCGGCCAAGTCACCCGAAGGCTCACCGCATGAAATAATCCTCTCCATGAATCTCTTCATCGTGGCTCAGACATACAACGTCCCCGCTCTTCAACTCCTCTGCCGAGATCGCTTCTACACCGCTGCCAGAAACCGCTGGGTCAATAAGACATGGACCGACTGGGAGGCTACCAAGGAGTTTGAGGACGTTGTGCTGGACGTCTATGGCTCTACAAAAGAGGTTAATACTCCGTTGTGGAAGGCTTTGTGCAAGTTGATTTGTATGAAGAGGGATGGTGATAAGATGAGGGAGAGGATGATGGCTGTCAAGGGGGAGCAAATGTATCTTGATGATGGTGTTGCAAGGTACATGCTGGAGCCTAGAGGCAACGAGTCTAGATGATTGCTGGCCTAGCGAGACCTTGAGGCAGGATACCATACCTTTGTTTTGACGCTTGGTTTAAGCTTTAAAAGATAGACTAAGGTTTCACGACTTCTATGAACAATATTTCTACACGGAGCTTGACATGGTTTTAATTTGAAGTGATTACTTCTCCGACTAGGGCTAAGACTTCGTGCGTATCATAACTTTCAATGACAGTCGCTTGGACAAGTTCTAAATTCTATGTGGACCGTGGTGATATAAGCTCTCAGCTGCAGGTCTCAACTGCAAATAGTACATCTAGCTCACAACTGAGACATTATACCATAACGCCTAACCAATTACTATAGCATAAATACAGATAAAGAGAAAACCTAAACGATGACTCATTTGCCTGCCTTCATGGGTAATAAGATTGGACAAGTTTAACAGCCCTGGCAACCAACTCCCGATCATTCTGAAAAGTCAACTTCTCTAGAACCTCTTCATAGCCATACCACTCAACCTCAAACTCATTCTCACATTTCCCAACAGTTTTATTCTCGTTGACAGCAGCAACATACCACCAAATCAGCTTCATCTCATGCTCACCAATCCTTCTCATCTGCACTGAAATCGGCTCACAAACACCTTTGAAAACACGCGTTTCATCAGGAACATCCGTTTCTCCAGAAGGGCAGAGGCGAGATTTCATGTTGATGGGTAGTAAACGACAGGGTATTCCTGTTTCTTCGAGAGTTTCACGAATGGCAGTATCGCAGCGTGACTCGCCTACATTGCGACGTCCTTTGGGAAGGATGTATTCGTTACGCTTTATATCGTGCAGGATACATATTTCATGTGTTGAGAGGCGGAAGAGAATCGTACCAGCGCTCTCGACAAAGTTTTCGGATGTGAAAGTCTCGGTCTTGTAATGGGAGGTTGCCATGGCTAGGATTCTGTTAGGCTGGTCTTATGAGGTAGTGTGAGCCGGAGCTTACTTCTTCTGAGCGCTAAATCAATGGTGTTATTTTCTTAGTGAGTTAGTCGAGTTCTATGGATGAGAAAATCGAAATTGGAGATGCGAGATGAGTAGAAGGTGAGATGAGGTTGAGCTGGGTTTCGAGTATGCGTGAAGTGGGGCTTGGTTGACTGATGCAGCCTAAGCCAATCAATATTCTCCATTTTCTCTACTGGGTCAATGAGGATTCAAGATATATGTGACAAAGTCGTAAATGTTTGCAGTAACAGAGTGTCTATAGTCACGGCTATCTCTATCTTCAAAGCAATATTGTGGTCAATGGAGGAGCGTTTTGAAAGTTGCCTTTAAAATGTCCATCACAGCACAATTCAAGGTCTGCCTGTGAGCTATCGCCAACAAAATGGATCAGAGTATCTGTTGTGAGATTAGCTTGGCGCCTGAAGATAAAAGTTAACTTCTGTCGCTGGACAGAGTCATGCTTCACGTGCTGAGGCATCTGCCATCAAATATTGGTAGCTATGGAGGCCTTGATATGAGAGAACTTTTAACAGCTGCAATACAGGGTTATGGCTAATGCCTACCTTGTTCACAAACAGCACATAAATAGGGAAGGATGAACGGCAACAAAACATGAGACTGCGAACGTAAATGCTGTCCAGGATACTTAGGTGTTACTCGTTTGTGTATTTGTTCCCCCTCAATTTCAACAGTCACTGGTTACAGTCAACGCTTAATACAGTATTGGAGTAATTCGTTGACAGTACATGGAAGTCGATACATAGAATAGAATTGCCTCGCCCAGTGAAACTTACTAACCCGGCAATTCCACCCATCCAGCCACGGCATCTCATCTCAAACCTTATCACCACCCACCCTACATCAAACCAAATATCTCACACGATCCGTCCCGCAAGGCAAAATCCAGACCCTGCAACATTCCCTCGCGATCCGTGGCGACAAACTCCCACTCGTCATTCTCATATCTAACCCCCAGCCATAACTCTACCACTACCGATCATACCAATCACTACCGATGGCGTTATACCGCGCCGCGTAGATCCCGGCGGCGTAGCCCATCGCCAAGACCGGCAGCCAGAAAAACTCTCCGGCCTGGTCTAGAAGCATGCAGGTACAGCCGATCCCTGCCTAGTGCGGACATCCCCTGGGCGGAGACGTCAGCCAAGAAGTTTTGGCAGACGTTGGGGTTGTAAATCAGATTCTTGGCCATTTCAGCCAAGGTGTCACGAATCTCGATTGTCAGAAGCCTCAAGTCACACAAGTCACGCAAACACAGTTGACGACAAACAATAGTCTAATGAATTGGTATCTGTCATGAATGGTCAAAAACACGCTATGAATGAACTCCTAACCAAACGATCATGATCGACCTCTATAGTAAACCCTTTCCATCCCTAAATACCTCATCATACCAGCGCGACTCGGTCTCCGCTTCATTACTGGCTTTACAGATCGTATCCCAATCTGTCGATCGCAATTCCCAAGCCTTTGTGTCCTTGTTCTTGCCAAACAGTAGCGACGCGCTCCCCTTGGTCTTTGCGCCGTATGACCAAACCTCCAGGTTGCCATCGTCAGCGGTAATGCTCGCTAACGGTGTTGTCGTGTTTGCTGTCATGTGCGCCTCGAGGAGGTTGCGCAGCTGGGGAAAGTACCACGTCTTATCCCACCAAGTTGATCGACGGGCCTTTAATCCGTTTCTCCAAGCGTTGTGGTGTATCGCGACGGGGACCGATGTCGTCCAGAAGTCCACGAAAAGCGAGACGTCACCCCAGCCGCCTTCATGGTCATCCAATTGAGAGAACGGAGCTTCAGCCTTGGAAATGTCGCTTGGCACACCACCTACGCGAGGGGGCGAAACGCCAGCTTGGCTCGACTCCTTGGCAATTGAGGAGGGATCGTCAAGTGACACGAAAGCACCGCCATAGTCAGAGTAGCAAGTCGGGTAGAAAAGTTCTTGTGTGTAATCCAAGCCGACGTGATACTCAAACTCGTCTCTGGCAGAAATCGCTGCCTCTTTTCCAGGGTTGTCGCCAGCAAAGTCATCTTGCTTGATCTGTCGGCGCCAAAGTTCCTGCTCGCCAAAAACCTCGGCGAAAATACCCTGGTCGCCTGCAAGATCCTCGGCAGACCTGGCCTCAAGAAGATCTTGGTCCATGCGATCTTTGACACGTTGGAAGTATCGTCGCATGTCGCCTGCGGGACCCATGAAACTGCCACTGTTGACATACTTGGGGCGCATGTATTTGTATCGTGATACAGTATAGTCGGTGAAGAAGCCGAAAACGTTTTCGGGGAGGGTGCTGTCGGGGACGTCGTTGCAGTAGAGGTTCGAGATTTTGTCGCGTGGGGCGATGCAGCCTTTTTGCGCGGCGGCAATGATGGTCTGCTGCATTAATTCCTTGTCAAAGAAGCCGTATTCCTCTGCAATTCGTCGGTTCGCTCGCTCGTTGCTGCTGTAGTATCGGTGCATCATGACGCTTGGAGGTAGCTGTAGCCAAATGTCGTGTGCATCCAGCATGAGCACGAGATCATCCTCTCCAAGCTTCTCCTCCTCTGACACCACATCGCCTGTGGCCCATTGTAGGTAGTTGAGTGTACCGGTAATTTTTCCCAGCTGCGAAGGTCCAATGCCGTCGGCCTCGGTATGAAAGTCTTTCTTCCAATTGACGATTACAGGCGCGGGATACCCCAACGCCACGGCGCTGCTGACAACCTTGCAGAGATCGGGACTCGAATCGTCGACGGGTAAAACGATGACAAACTTTTTTTCCCCGGAGGAGATGTTGGCTGGGGTGACCAAGGTTTCTTGTAATATCGGACCCGTTGGTCTCCAAACACTATCATTATGGATCTGATGGTCAGTTTGAGCTTCAATCGGGAGAAGGGAACATACCAAGTAGTAGATTGTTAATGCAGAAGCGAATAAGGCAAATAGTAAAGTTGAACCCTTCTTAACCCATCTCCAATTTGAACCGTTGACACGAAATCTAGGGCGAGGACGCGCAGCGCCAGGGAGAGCAATGTGTGAAGGCATGTGTCATGAGCAGGATATGTATGTATAGTGAAGAAAGAGAGAGGAATGTATCAAGGGACAAGAAGAAACGAGGTTTTCGGATAGAATGTCAAGCCAGGGTTAAGGGAGAGACAGAAGTGGGCCGCGGTGGAACAATATAAGTTACTAAAGAAAAACCGGGCTTATTGTAAACGAAGGAAGGACGATCAAGAAGGATGCACACAAAAGGAACACAAAGCAGGATGTTGAAAGGTTGAGAGTGGACAAGGCAGACAGAGCCAAGGAGGGAAGACAAGCACAAGACAGTCCGGTATACGGCAGTCATGACAAGGTAGCTGCAGCTCTCTTCCCACTATAAACCCGGGCTGTGGAGCACCTAATCTTATCGAGCCGCTCGAGTATCTTGTCGGTGTGAGGCTCATATTAAAGGTACATGCGCCCTGCGGCCCCCAGGCAGTGTGAACACGGCATGCTTGACACTAGCGGGCTAATTCGAGACAGATCATCTGAGTGGGAGAGTCTGTGATTCGTCAGAGTCGCTGCTAGGGCTGTGCCGTAACCGAAGTTAGCACTGGACTTGCTGCCGATGCTCGAGTCCTACAAGGCATTTCCCGCTTCGTTGATCTCCGTAAAACAATAGCAGCGCCAAAAACAATGGATGACCTTCTAAAATTTCTGACATGTTCAGTGACAGGATATTTGTAAATGTCAGCCAAGATTGTTGTTCCAAGGTTATATCCTTGTTGATTTGCAATACCAAGCATTGGCATCGAGATTGCACCAAAACGCAAATTCCCGAGTTAAATGGCGAGAGAGCTCCACCCGCTAACCCGCGGCCCCCAAGTCGACGTACCACAATGAAACATTCCTTCTCAGCACGGCCGCAAAACTCGTTCAGGAGATATTACATCAGGGGAACATCGTGCTGACGGGCTGTACCTATCATTTTAGCTCTACGCGCAGACTTTTTCTCAAGTAATTTATCACCTACTACAGAACAATTTTAAGACAGTAAGCAGCCCCCCCTGAATCTGGAAGCAGCCACGTTGAAGAGCTCAAAACGCAAAACACTTGACTGGCCAGAAATGAAACAAATCTGAGCCACCGCCAGCGCCATCTCACAAGGCCTATCGCCCCATTAAGCCCTGTACATGTTCAACATGAGATACTTTCCAGTCACCGACGGACCCTTGGAGGCGCAGCAATTTAATGCTTGTTTTTTATTTTCGGTAATTGGTAAGAAAAAAGTCTGTCGCAGCCCGCGGCGATGCGAGAACCGGTTACAGAACTGTTTTGAGCTGTTGCAAGGCGCAGGTGTTGATCAACAGAGACTCACTAAAAATGACGACAGATCTTCATGTCAGGGGAGAAATGGAAAGGCCACCTCGTAACACGCGACCACAAAATCGGGCACTTCCTCTTTGGGTGTGCCTCGCTGTTCTGACCGTTGTGTTTGGCTGCCGTGTTTGCCGCGCGTGGTTGGTGGGGCTGACTCTTTTGGGGCTGAGCTGGACATGTTCAAGCCGGAGTCGGGCGAAATGTCATCACAAGCCTCCTGTTCTGACACGAAAAGGTTCATAATCCTTCTATTCTTGGCATATTCTTCATGTATGCTTATTGTTGAGTCCTAGACATGGATCGTCATCCTTAAAAGCTTCATTCGTAGCCGAGCTGGAGACAAGCCTGGCCAGGTGCTTGTTAGTACACGCTATGCGTAAATCCCCAACAAAATACGCAAATCCTGGAATTGTAATTTGTTCAAAACTGGACGCCTGTTCACATGCATAGTCTCGCTCGGTAACGGATGCCACAGTCAAGATGGTGGCCTTGCCACGTATATTTGTCAAATTTGGGTAATAGCCGAGCTTTCAGCTTTGCAGCCGAGCAGCAAGCAACATTAGCCGGGGTGCAGCTTGAGGAGATGTCAGTAACTTCAGGTCTCGACTACAGGACAGAAATACTCAAACAAGCTGAGGATAACTGATGATAAACTCAATAGGTTCTTTGACCACCTTGGGTAAGTTTGTTATATCTTAGCAAGCCTTTAGACCATTTTATTTTGGCATCCTGATTCAACATCAG